TAAATAAATTTTAATGAAAATAAAAAATAGTAGTATTAATATGTGGCTCCAACAACAATAAGGCTATAGTTGTAGCGAGGCTTTGACAGTAATAGTATTTTAGTGGCAATAAGGCTTTGAAAATAATTCATTTGTAAAAAGTTTTTATCTAAAATTTTCATCCATTAAATTCATCTATATTTTTTTTTAATAATTTTTATCTACAATACTTGTTCATCTAGAGCTTTGATACCATATTACAAAAATGGATCTACATATATTCAAGTTGCAAATAAGAATGTGTCAAAAAAAAAAAAAAAAAATATAACACTTCATGAATATTTATTATATACTAAACAAGTCACAACTTTTGGTACAATCAATATGGTATATAATTTGAACTTAGATTAAAGAAAACATCTTAAGTCCCTCTAATTTTCTCTACAATTTAAATTACTATATAAACTAAGAGAGCCAATTGTAGTATAATGATCAAGATTTATTATTCATAAAATTTTAAATTTTATTTTAAAAGAACACAATTGGTACATATGCAAGCCTATCTATAATAAGTATATTATAGTTTTTATGGTTTAATTACTTAGATTAGTTTTTTAAATATACCTAAATTAAGAATGTTTGCACAATGATAATTACTAATTACTTAGATAAATTTTTTAAATATTTCTAAAATAAGACTTGAAGTAGAGTAATAGTTATTGATTCTCAAGGCCAATTTTTTAATTGCAACTAAGTTGGAGTTTAAAACAAAGCGGTAGTTACTAACTTCCAAGGCTACTTTTTCAATTGTGAATAAGTTGGAACTAGGAGCAATAGACCATTGTTTCAATTAAGCAACAAGGGAGCAAAGTATTAGATAGTTAATTTCTTTATTGTTATTTTGATCCATGATTTTGATGTCTAAGAATAAAGATAGCTTATAATTTATTAAGGCCAATAATATAAAATATGGTTTAAAAATTATTTCTTATTTTTTTGCTACTTTAGTTATCATCAAGGTATAGTGCCATTTTATATTACATTTGATTGTAAAAAGAATATTGAATCAAAGCTTAAAATCACAACCAATATATAAGATTAGATTATGTCATTTCACTATAATAATATCAATTTGCATATGATGAAGTAATACACTCTAAAATTTCAAGAGTATGTACAATTCAAGTCAAAAGTGGAACATGACATCTTCTTCAATGATGTCATTATCTTGTTTCGAAATTCAATGCAAGCTCTCTTCATCTCTGAAACTTTAGGCCAATATAGAATTATATTTGATATTGACAAAACTATTATTAAAGTCATTTTTGGTGATATGTTGTATTCAATGGAGGACAAAGCCAATGATGGCGACAATGACTTTAAATACAATGAAGAGAAGTAGGTTGCATTTGGTAGTTAGGCCAAATGTGGTATTACAATTAGGAATTTTCATGCAATCACTGTAATGAAAAAGGAGCAAGCTATGTCACTTTTAAGTGGCCAAAGTAACCATATAATAAAGAAAAGATATCTTATTCTTATATTATTAAAACTTAAAAAGTCTTTTTTATTCATTTATTATATTCTTATACTTGCTGCAATATCAATAGTTTTATTAAAGTGATTTGTTCTATTAATTTTTGATGACTATTTGAATTGCTACAAAATGTGTAGGTATTCTTGTTGGTGCTTGATTTTGTAGCTATTTGGAGCATATCATATCTCAATATATACTTTTAAGTATATGTGAAAAAAATGCATCATTGTTAACATGCATAGATGTACACTATCGATTTTGGAGTGGTATATAAATATAATAATATTTAATATGGTTGCTAAATCTCTTAATGTGCTTTGTCTTGATTGGAATATGTACCTTCTTGGCATGTCAATCAATGGAGCTTGAAATATGATTGACTATGTTGTTGGTGTCATGACTTGGCTTTAGAGAGTTTTTTATGATGATTGTAAACTAATTTATATGTGGTACAAAGTACATTAGCTCAATCTAGTCATAGAGCACATCATAAACATGATAGTGAAGAAATGATTCTTCTCTGTGATGATGGGCTTTATTTTGTATCTCACACAGTAGTAGAACCTCATTGCAAAAATAAGTATGACATGCCCTTGTTTTGTAAACCATTGGTTCTTTATAGATAAAATTAACATGTGATTTAAAAAATATCTTTCTAAGTCCGTTGCTTATATTTAGTTGGAGGAATTTGCAAGTATCCAACCTTAGCTTTGGTAGATTTATCTATTTTTAATAGACACTTTTATAAGGTACAACATCAAAATATTTTCTAAGATTCAAGGCCTAACAACTTTAATCTCAGAAAAAGAGGCAAAGCAAAAGACTCTTGTTAGCACCTTCATTGAATATCTTGGAGCAAATAGCCTACTTATCAACAAAAATGATTTCATGCTTGGATATAACAATATATGGCATGAGTGGTTACTATATAGTCTCCATTTTGAATGTACATGAATTTATTGTTGACCTTGCATCTAAATTGAAGACGTTTTTAATGATCCCAAAGAATTTAAGTACAACCATTTGATGTAAGATATTAGCCTCATCTTTATTGTAGCATGTGATTGCATACAGGACATATTTGTATAGTGTAATATAGTCAACAATCCATATATACACCTACATTTGCTACTACTTGTATTATCACATGAATTCATTTTAATTTTTGCAACCAACTTCATTTGCAAGGCTTATAGGTAGAACTTTTCATTGTAGCACTATTATTCTACAATATACATTGATTTGATTGTTAATAAGTTTAAAGCTTTTTTTTGCACCTACGACAATAAACATGTTATATAAGCTAGCATCAATGCTTGCAATAGAAAGACATCATTTGACAATGCTTCGACCTTATTCAATATATATTTTTCAAACTTAATTGAGTTTTTTAATGGCATTGCAACTCTCTTCTCTAATACATGTATTGTAGAGTCAAACTTCTCTATCTTAAGGTAGATGAAAGATGATTATCCAAAATTCTATTGGACTTTAATCTTAAAGGCATGTTGTATGCAAAGTAGTACATCCAAATTGAGGCACTTGTAGATTCTAAGTAATTATTTAGATTGATTTGTATGGCCTTGAATAAATCCAATCAATTTTACTTATTCATTGGCATTTAATCTTGGGTAAATTTTCCTATGATCTATATTAATTTTTAAAAAGTACTTAAATTAAGCTATTTTAGGTAATTCAATTATGTGCTTATTATAGATAGGCCTACACACATGTCATTTTGGCTAGATAATATATTATGTTGTAGATAGAATTGGTGGCTTTGAACATGGAAAAATGTTTGCATTTGAGACACTCAAAATAGAAGCAACTCAAATGCACACACTTGATTTGTGTGGATGTGGAGCTCTTTGTCAAGTCTCCACCCAATGCTTTCATTTTTCGTCATTGAACGCATCTTACTTCATGTAAGTCTGCGTCTCCATTTATCACTCATTTGTGAAGGTAGCCGCTTTCAGCAGTAATGTTAGGTGCTGCTATTCTTATGTATTTTGTGCCTCTCACAAGGGTTGTGGTATGTTTGAATGTGCACAATTATCTTTGAAGTGATTCTCTAGCTGCAACTATCGAGAAATACTAGGATTGCAGATGTCAGCTCTTCTAATGGCATAGAGGATTGGTGTAGTCTAAAGGATCATATACTTCATCATGACAATGTTCCTGAAATGCAAAGCAAGATAACTCCTCACATGAAGGGGATAATGGAGAAATATAGTTAAGTTGAAATACTCAAGATCATCACACAAGAGCTTGTGATGTAGGTGTTAACCCCCTTTCTAGCTTAAGACCAATAGGACTTTTTGAACCACAAGATGAATATGTTGCAGACAAGGATCAGTGGGTTTCTGAAAATATAGGCTTTTTATCTGCAGACTTCTGCACCAATGACTGGACCAACTTGGTTACTCCAAACCTGAAGTTGAGTTGGCAACCCCAAAACTCAGATTGCAGTCATGCAATAAGAACCCACAACTTAGCATCTCATTACAGTGAATTTTTCCCTGTCCAATTACGTGCTCAAGGTTCAGCTTGGCTGCAACAAGTTAACCATCCTTAATTTCAATTCAAGATCAGTGTTGTCCACGAACTTTTAGTGCTTTTAGTGTTGATGATTTTTCTTCTTCATTGTCTCTTCTGTCTCTCCCTCACTTCTGCTCACCCTCTAAGATCTTTTGTGTTTTTTGGAATTGCACAATGGCTCTTTCACCAGTGCAAATAAATTGATTATAGTAAAATTAACAACGATTATTATACTCTTCCATAATAGTAAATTTATTTTTATTTTTATTTTTATTTTATATATCTTAATTTCTAAAATAGAAATTTTGATTATTTTTAGCATCAAATATATATATATATATATATATATATTGTCTTTCTTCACTTTCTCTCTTCTTTAGTAATACATGGGTGCATTGTTTTTGAAATTTTGTCTAGATTTATGTCCTTGATAAAATCATTAAAAGAGAAAACATATATTGGCTAAAAATATAATTATTATAAATAATTACTTCAAAATTTATATGAATTTTATAAATAAATATTTTGTGGAAGAAATGTTCGTACATAAAAAAAAATCTTAAAACACGTCTTAGATATAGAATTTTATAAATTTTTCTTTCATGTAAAAGTGGTGTTTTAAACTAAGCCAATTTGAATAATAACTAATGATTAATATTATATTATAATAGGACATTTAATAACAATTTGATGAAATTAGGATTGGTAATGCCACTTTAGCTTATGATGAATGTGCTCTAAACATCAAATTAAGTATTAAAAAGAAAATCTGCATATTAAAGTAATTAAACATATAAATTATAATACTTGTTTTCGTAGGGAATAGATTGCCACATCTGTTAAAAAATAATAATTATATGTTCTAAAAATATAATTTTTAATGTCCTAAATAATTTTAAAATAAGAATGAGAGAAGGTGTTTTTTGTTGCAGTAGATAAAAAATTTGGAATTGACTTTTAAAATCTAAAATTACCATACTATGAAACTAACAATGTTGAAGGAAGGACGTTTGTGTCATTCACAATGAGCCAAACTTTCAACCAAACTGATTGGTTATAATATAATATGGTGAAGCGCCGTGCTTTAAACGTTGGAGGCCAGGATAGACGGCAGAGCTTTGACAGTGGCTATGGAGGAAGTTGAAAAGAAGAAGGTGGGCAAGGTGGGTTTTATGATCACGACTTCGAGGTGGCCAAGGCTCATGCGGAGGAAGCTGTAGATCGAAGAAGAAGGACTTGCTTCGTTATGTCCAGGGTCATATATGTGAACATACACCAAGTCTTGCTCATCGATTCTGTCTGATATCAGAATATTTGGTCTTTCTCGAGCTTTTGAGGGCGTTCTTCGGGATCAGCAACGGCTGCACAGTTTCAGCCAAACAGCCAGCCAGCATCATCAGTGGAGCTCCTTGGACTTATTTCAACTACAATTTGCTCCAGTTGTCGTGAGGTAACGTCAGGTTTGGCGAGTTCTCTGGTTGAGGTAGTCGAATGGCTCCTCTCATCAGATCTTGTAGCAGCTGCGGTCAATTCTTCGATTTCTGCAGTTCTTTCACGAGTCTGGTAAGGGTGATCAGCTCGAGAACGTGTCAAATTATGTGCCTGTTAGATGTCCCCCTCACCCTTCGTTAACATTGAGGATCCGCCTTTTTCCCGCAGAGGTGCATTGATTTGGAAATGCTCTCATCACTTCTTTGGAGCTTGACCGCAGTTTCAAATATGCCATCTGAGCGCTCGAGGGTCACACTGCGTGCAGCTTTTTGTCTTGAAGTCCAGAAATGACAGAAAATCCTCGCAAACATCAAGGTTTTGGAACTTTGTGGATACGTCCAGAAATGGAGTTGGGATTTGCCCCACACATTGTCCCGTCTATTTTTCATGTTTTTTGGGGCTTTCTTTAGAAGAGGCGATTTAAGGACACCAGAAAATCTGCTCGATTCCACGCATTCAAATACACTGACAGTCAACTAAACTGTTGGGGGTGGAACTTGACTCTGCAATTGCAGTCTATGCCTTGCCCATTCACTAACAACGTCGCTCTCCCATTCATTGCAATTGAAGTTAGCATACTTTTATGGATTCTTGAGCGTGACTTGCGCCTTCAACCCTCTCGTGATAATTGAGTCCAAGATATGAGTCTGGGAATGCACAGGACGTCCACGGTGTCAAAATCTGGTGACCTACGCAATCTACCTCTGTGGCCAACAGCTGGGCCTGTGCTGTTGTTTAAATACCTTGCCAGGAAATTCGTCCATAAAATTTTCTGGAAATGTTAGTCGTGGCTTGCGCTGCTGCTGGCACGTCTTCTTTTCAAACTATTTCGACGATTTGCAGCCCTCACCACATGTGAACTTCTTTGGCCAATGATGGCATACTTTCTGCAGGAATACTTCATCGTGTTTGTGCTGGTCCTCGGAAGCATCATTTGAAGAGCCGGAGCTCGCACTGACCCGTCTTTGTCAGTTGTCCAACGTGCTGTCACAATGGATAACTGAATGTAGTTATAGAAGTTCGTATATTTTCGCACGTGATCAGATACCGGGCTAACAGAAAACAGTAACTTGTGACATTCGCTGGAGCCGAAGAGACGATGATCGCGATACACCAAGTTTGCGTAACCCATGTCTGTAAGAAGGCGACCACACCTTGTGCCATAATTCACTGAAGTTAGCAGCGTAAGATTTTTCCATATCTTTCTTTTTGAACAATTCGCCTTACTTGCGGTTGCATTTTTTTATTGCTCGCATTTTCAACATATTGGTTTCCTATTATGGGCTCCAAACTTTCTCTGAGATAGCAAGTTCATCCCAAACCTGTGCGATCTGTTGAGCCTGGTTGTGAGTCGTAGTTCTCACGATCAGTAAGTGGGTTAATTGCCAGTGCAGAATGTGTGTAACGTCACTGCTGTTTGTGGTCTCCTCTTGATCCTTTCACCTTCCACGCTGCTTTGCAAAACCCTCATCGTATGATCTTCCTAGCGTTAACAAGTATCTTGGAAGGGGATTTTCGTGCTGAGGTGGAGTACCGATTTGGCCGTGACCATCTGAGTCTCATCCCTTCCAAGCCTCACATTTCCCGCAGTTACCTTTCAAAATTGATTAGATCTTTAAGTCTGAATGAATGAGGAGCTTCTCTCGTTGATGGCTTTTCATTACTGCTAGTTTAGATTCGTGCACGATTCGTTCAGCATAAGTTTTCTTTTGAAGAGCTTCTGTTGTGGTGACGCATAGTCATCTATGATATACACACGCAAATCGCATGAAAAGGAAGACAATCTGCCTTCTTTGTTGGCAGATCTTTCAGATTATGCGCTTCTGTATGAATTAGTTTGTAAACTTTGCTGTCTAGGTTATTGTACAGAGCATAATAACAATCAAACCCAGGATCTTCAAAAGCTCCGTAGCTTGACGGAGCTTGAAACGTGGGATACGATATTGGTTCAGTGCTTGTCATGTTTGCAGTTGTGCTCCATGAGCGACACAAACAGATATTAAGTTGCTCCAGGTGATACGCGATTATACTGGGAGAGATTCATAAATGGAGAAGAATTTTATGACATTATGGATCCTCTTCTGCAGCATTTTATTAATCACAAATCCAGCTGGCGTTGCAGCAGTCATAAGAAGACAATTCTTCTCTGGAAATTATTCTCTGATGGACGTGATGCAGACCCAAAAGCTGGTGAATCACGCTGGCGAGCAGTACTGCACAGAACCTTGCACCACAATGGTGCTCGAAGCATCTGATCAGTGTGAGAGCTGTCTGCTCGCTCATCCCCACATCCCTAGCTACATGGAGATGATACGGTGGCAGCTTATCTCAGACATCCTCATTGCGCTTGCATACTTCTCTATCCCAGTGGAGCTCTTGTTCTTCATCTACAAAGCACAGGTAATGAACCACACTGTTGATGATTGAGAGTCAGTAGAATCCTTGCTCGCTATGACAGAGAATCGATCTCAATCACTTGCAATAATGTGGTGACTGACGCAGGTATTCCCCTACAAGTGGGTCGTGGCAGAATTCGGTGCATTCATTGTTCTCTGTGGCCTGACGCATCTCACAAATGTCTGGACATTTCTTACAATGGCGGCTAGTGCCACCAGAACGATGACGTTCTTCAAAGTCTCCACTGCCTTTGTGTCCTGTGCTACCGCTTTCACCCTGAGCTGGGTCATTCCCGAAGTTCTAGGGGTCAAAAAACGCGAGTTGTATCTTGTGGGCAAGGTACACGATTCGTGAGCATTTACGTTCCGTTTCATGATTTCTGAAGGAATCTTTGAAGTTCAAAAAAGTTGATATATAATCGGTTTCTAGACTGCAGAGTTAGATAAGGAGGTAGGAGCAATGAAGAAGAAGGAAGAGGCGGGGACACATGTGCGCATGCTAACTCATGAGATCCGGAGCACACTCAACCGACACACTATTTTGAAGACAACTCTAGTGGAACTTTCGCAAACTCTCAAGCTCAAAAGCTGCAACATCTGGATGCCTACCGAGGACAGCGATCAATTCGAGCTCACACATGAGCTGGATGAGGACAAGAATAGGTCTGTCAGTAGTTCACCTACCATTTCTAAAATGGATCCAGGCATCCAACATGTAGGTATTATCACACCCTACGAGATTGACTTCCATTCATTATCGATTGTATGAACCCAGCATCTTACTGGTGTCTGAGGCAGAACCTAAACGTGATGGTTCGATCATGGTCAGGTTCTTTGCAATCAGGGCGCGGTGCTTGTTCCCTACAATTCCATTTTATTGATGAGGCACGGGGCTTGTACGAAATTGGCAGATGGAACGGTATTAGAAGATCGTGTTGTAGCTGTGAGGCTGCCCTGTATGAGTACCTCTCATTTCAAAGACTTCCGCGAAGCCAACGTGACCAATGGTCATCTTCCTGAAGCATCGTCTTATGCGTTTCTGGTGCTTGTATTGGCTCCTGATCCACAGAGAAAGTGGCAGGGCCATGAATTTGAAATGGTCACAGCTGTTGCTGACCAGGTATTGTCCGTCTAGCATAGCGCCTTGCAACCCCCAAACTGCAAGGCACGTTTCACATCTCTTCGAGCTGCGTATTCCTGCATTCTGAGTTCTTATATTGATTATTTGTTTCTTTTGACGACACATATGTTGACCTCACTCTTACTATTAAACCTGATTCAAGTCAATCAGGTTGCAGTTGCACTTTCGCATGCAACAGTATTAGAGGAATCCATGCGAGCACGAGATCAATTGATTGCTCAGAATCTAGCTCTGGAAATCGCGAAGAAGGAAGCAGAGGAAGCAGTGGCTGCACGCAACGATTTCCTAGCTGTGATGAATCATGAGATGCGGACGCCCATGCATGCCCTCATAGCCCTCAATTCAATTTTGTCGCAGTCAAACTTGACGGAAGATCAACACTCCATGGTAGAGACCATGGCCAAGAGTAGCAGTCTTCTTTCGTCGTTAATAAATGACATTCTAGATTTCTCGAGACTCGAAAGCGGTGGCCTAGCTTTAGATTTAACTCTTTTCAACCTCACTGCTTTAATGGGCGAGGTGGAGAATATTGTCCGTCCCCTGGCTTCTCAGAAAAACATTTCTTTCACAATGTCCTGGACGCCGGACTTCCCTGGTGATGTCTTTGGAGATAGTAACCGGTTACTTCAAGTTATGCTGAACGTGGTGAGCCAGTTTTCTCATAAGAGATAGATTTCTATGTATTTTTTTTATTTTATTTTATTTTTTGCGTACTTTTGAAGGGATTCATACATATTTCTTAGTACTTAGTTTGAGATCACCTCAGATTGGAAATGCCATCAAGTTCACTTTGGAAGGAACAGTTCGAGTTGCGCTGAGAGTCGGAGACATAAGCGACTTTCGCCCAGTTATGGCGACTGGAGCGGAGTTGCCAGTAACACCGAGAAGGTTCTTGGAGTACCGCCACATTCACGTTGACATTGTTGATACCGGGATCGGCATCAAGGCAATAGACGTGCCGCGCTTGTTCCACAAATTTGTACAGGCTGATAGCACAACTACTCGCAACTTCGGGGGGACTGGCTTAGGTCTTGCCATTTCGAAGAAGTTTGTGGAGGTACCATAGTGAAAAACCTTACTCTTCTGAAGTTAGTGAGGATTCTAGAATATCTGGTGTGAATGGCTGCAAGTGCAAATCTAAATGTCAGAAATCGAAGAAATTATCTAACTACAGGAATTATATCTGTTAGTTTGTTAGATCTGACAAGCGAAACAATCTATCCTGTGGCAGCTTATGGGAGGGAAAATTTGGCTGGAAAGCAAGGGACTGGGAGAGGGAACAACATGCAAGTTATATATCACAGTCGGCATTTATCACGACCGTCAGCAGCCGACCTTGAAAGAAGGGCCGAAAAAGCCAACCTCACCCGCCGAGCTAACAGGTTTGGAGGTAAAATGCGTCTCTGTCAAATTCAAAATTTGTAGTGACAGCTGCTGCACGGACCGCCTTGCCCTCCATAGCCTACCACTTGCCATTGACTTGATCCTGCTTACGTTTGTGAACAGGTCATAGTTGTAGACGATAACTCGATAAACAGAATTGTCACGAGGCGTCTACTTGACAACATCGGGTGCACATCCACAGTCCTGGATTCTGGCCAAGCGTGCTTGGACGTCATTGATGAGAGAGGACCATCTCAATTCCAAATTCTTCTCTTAGATCTGTGTATGCCTGAGGTGTGTTGTTCCAGCCTACGACACCAAGCTTCTGATAACACTATTAACCGAAGCTTGGCCCTTGACGATCTTGTCACAATTCATTACCCAAGCTACTAGGATGATAGTTTCCTACTTAAAAGTTGAACGGCTTTGCCCTTTGTGCAAGGTCTTGTTGCCATGACGCTTATTGAGTCATGTCTTGAATTCTGCGCAGATGGACGGTTTCACAGTTGCTAGAGAATTAATCAAGAGGTATGACAAACCTGCAAGGCCCATAATATGTGCACTCACAGCCAACTCCGACACCAAGACCCGGGAGCATTGCTTTGAGGTTGGCATGGACTACGTCCTCATGAAGCCCATCAGCTTGTCCCTCCTCAAAACAGAATTGCTCAAGTTGATAGAGCTTCGAGAAGAATGCAAAGAACCTCCTCCTCAGTTATCAGCCCCACCTGCAAGGTGAGGAGCAAAGTATGAGAATGCTGAAGAGTGATTCAATAACTGCATCTGCACCCACTACTCAGCCATGAAAGTGCACTTGGAAATGCTCTAAGAAAAATCTGTTTTGGAGGTACTCAACAAACAAAATGGTCATAAATGGGACTTGTGTTCTAACAGTGAGCTTAACGTACAACATCTCCGATTCTGCATAAACTCCGAACCTAAGCAGCAGCTGCACACCCATGTAGTGGACACAGAATCATTGACATAGTTCAACAATCATGGGAAATCCCACATATGTTCAACACTTTTGGTTTCCAAAGGTATTTTGAACGTGGGGGGAATATTGTACAATTTTTGTTGAGTCCTAATTTGTTGCCTCACTAAAACACAATTTGCATGTGTAATTAATATGTTCATTAAGAAAATGGTTGATTAAGTTGAGCATATTGTGGTCATTGTGACATCTATGCAAAAGAAATGACTATCAACAAAGTATTGATTGATAAACTAGAAGATGTGCAATCTTTTTCCCAACCAAAAGAATAATGTATTAACTATTCAAAAAAAAAGTTGCAAAAGTTTTAATTTTAATTTTAATTTTTTCTTTCTCTCTCCACTGCACTCTTTGAGTGTAAGTGAGAGGGTCTAAAATTGTTAATATTTTTTGACAAAAAATGGTATTTTATATATGTATATATATATATATATATATATATATATGAAAAAATAATTGATAATATATATATATATATATATATATATATATGAAAAAATAATACTTATAATAAATATTATTAATTTTTTTCTTACCAATTTTTAAAAATAAACCTAATAAAATAAAATAAAATAAATATTTATTAATTCAAATTTTATTTTTTAGATTTTTTTTGAATATCTTAAAATTTTGATTCTTATTATTTTATTTAAAAAATAATTTAATTAAAATTTAATTATTAGTATCTTTTTGAATTTTAATCAATTTTTTAATATATTCTTTCTTTACTAAATAAAAAAATATAAAACATGTTAAATAACACACAAATATATATATATATATATATATATATGTGTGTGTGTGTGTGTGTGTATTTTTTGATAATTTACGATTGTATATATTTAATATAAGATTATTAATTATAATAATTTTATATGCTACAATAATAAATACAAAATTTTCTATTTATTTTAAATAACTTATTAAATGCAAAAAAAGATTTTTATATGTTAGAAGTAATTATGAATCATTATGGACATAGTTTCAAGGACATAAATCTAGACAAAATCCAAAAGATAATATAACTACTTATTATTAACAAAAAAAAGAAAAAAATAATAAGAAAAAAAATAAATATATATGAAATAAAAATGAATAAGAATAGCTATTGCCTAATACAAAGAAATTAAATAGTCTAAAATTAAGATTAAAATATAAGAATATTATAAATAAGACTAAAAGTAGCCTCGTTCTTATCTCTACAAATATTAGCTATTAAAAATATATTATAGAAGTTTCTTAAGGACCATAGATTTATAGCCCTAGCATCAAAATAGATAGCAAAAATATCTATTACATATAGTTCATATATAGATTTTTTATCATATAAAATATCAAACAAATAATCACACTATTCTTAAAATGAATTTACAATTGTACGAAGTTCTTTGTTGTAGATCTTGTAATTGATGTTTGTTGCTAAATATTTTCTTGAATAATAAGCTATGGAATGAAGTTTTTTATTTACTCCCATTTGTAAGAATATCACACTTAAAGCAAAGTTTGATGCATCTATTTTCAATAAAAATACTTTGAAAAAGTTAATTTAGAATAAAATTAATATAAAAAGTAAATTTTATCTTCAAAACTTCTAATGATGTTTCAACTTCTTTATTTTATTTAAGTTTTTTTTTATAAGTCAAATGTATAAATAAAGTTGCAACTTAAAAAAATTCTTGACAAAGATTCAATAATTATTAGTAAATCTCAAAAAACAATAGACATCTCTTATTGTTTTTAAAATCTTTCAATCCATGTTAGTTTAAACTTTCTTAAAATCCATTATAAGATCATCATTTAAAATAATTTATTTCATAAAATCAAATTAAGTTAAGTAAAATACAAACTTCTCCATCTTGTCCTATAGTCATGTATTTCTTAGTTTTTGTAATACATAACAAATATAAAGTTTATACTCTTACAAGTTCTTAGAATAGATTAAAATATTATTAAGATAAAAAAATTATAAAATCATCTAAAATATTTTCAAAAAATATCATTTATAAGATATTGAAAAATAACTAATGCATTTGTAGATCCAAAATGCATGAAATTATATTCAAAATACCTATATTTGATTTGAAATGCAATCTTTGATTTATCTTTTTTTTTTAAATATGTATCAAATTGTATGTTCTTTTAAGTTCTATTTTTTTATAGATCTTTTCTTAATTCAATTAATCAAAAAGTTCCAATATCAAAAATAGATGATATATATTCTCAATAGTAATCTTATTGAATCCTTGATAATCTACACATATGTGCTATGATCCATTTTATTTCTTCAAAAATAAGATAGGAGCTTTTATTGAAAAATTAGAATAGTGTATGAAGTTCTTTGCCTTATTTTCATGAATGCATTTCTTAAATGCAAACAACTTGTTCTATGATAAGCTATAGATTGGTCTAAGTGGTAGTTGAGTTTTTTCTTGAAGATCAATTGAACAATCATAAAAATGATGTTGTGAAAAAATATCTATATTTTTTTTCTCAAAAATATCTTGATAATCTCAATATTGGCTTAAAATACTACTTAAAATCTTTTTACTAATATAAATAGGTGTGGCATAAATAACAAAAGATAAACTTGCTTAAGCAATATACATGAAAGCTCTTATATCTACCAATGTGGATTTGGACTAATGACTTTCTACTTTGATAATAAAAGTATGGATTATGCCATAGAAAAAATTAGGATTACAAGAAATCTAGTCTATTCAAAGATTATACTTCTTTAATAACAATAAATCTAAATTAATTAGATTAGAGAAAGATATAATAACATAAAATAATATTAAGCTATTATCTCCATTAGTTGTTACATCTAAGGAGATAGTTTTATAGATAATATCTCTAAAAGACAACAAATAATCATCTACGACTTCTACATGCATAGGCTTAGTTTTCTTTAATACAAATACTTCTTGTTTTTTTGTCAAAGTCTTTGTCTATAAAACAAGTTGAAGCTCTCAAATCTAATAAGACAAAGACTTTGTATTTTTTTGGTTCCAATCAAAGATTTCTCATATATCAAGGCAAAGAATTTGAGGAAATAATATTATTTTTATTTGGTGTTGCAGAAGATTTCAATTACATTGTGTCTAGAATAGTTAGACAAATTGATTTTTTAATACATTGTTCTCTTTGACAACCTTGCTTCTTATTTTGTAATTGCATTTTTTCTTTGGATAATATTAAACAATTTTTTTAGATTATCTATAATCTAACCACAATCTTTTTTGGCAACATCAAGTCTTTTCTTGTTCATTGAGAGATTTAAAACATATTATATTTATTTACATAGATATTAGGCTTGATGAATAAGTTTTTGGAAACTTTGGATTTGACTTCATGACTTTATTTATTTTTTTCTATCCAAATCTCTATTCTTAGTGGCTTTCAAAAAGTCAATTATTGCATATAATAACTTAAGCAATAAATTGTTTCAATGAATTTGCTCTTGACATTGTCACCAATAAGTCTTTGATATTATATTTTACTCCAAATCAAAATTGATTTGTAAAGGCTTTGTCATTTCAAACCATATTACTAGTAAGGTTTTGAAATTTAATATCATATAGAATGGCTAAATGTGATCTTTGTAAAGATAGGAATTTAGTTTCTATTACTTTTTTTGATCATTTTTTCTAAATGTACATGTAAGTACTTTCAAAAATGAATTAAGACCATAGACTAGTTGTAAATCATTTTCCATCATAGTTTCAAACTAAAAAAGATCACTTCTAGATAGAAGTGTACCAATGAATCCAAAATTGAGTAAATCCATTAAAGTATTGAGAGGGATGCGATTATAGATAGAACTTTATTTGCTATAAAATTTTTTGAAATTTTGATCTTCTTCCATAAAACTTCTTTGGCATAATTATCATTGCATCCTTCATACTTGTAATAAGAAGATTTTTTGGATTCAATTTTGAAGTTGATCTATTTGTTTTTCTTAATTGCACAATTTTTTGGCATAAATATTGAATTGTATTATTAACTTCTTTGTTAGGCATAGAAATAGTACCCCCATGATTGACATTAATAATATGTGAGATTTCTATCCTATGAATATTAAAAACTTGTGAAGGTTTGTAATAATTGCAAATTTATTCTCACTTATATCCAAATTTAGTATTTATAATTTTTTATTCTATTTTTATGAAAAATAAATTTAATAAATTTATAATTAAAATTAGAAGATGATAATATTCTACTTTTAATATCAAATATAAAAATTTAGAAAGAAAAACAATCCACTTTCTTTATAAAAAGAATGATTATTAAAAAACAAAAAATATTAGTTTAAAGATGGATAGTCCGTAATCTTTAAATCACAACAAAAAAAATGAAATAATTCACTCCTAAAAAAATAAGAATAATAACATAAGAGTCTTGTAAAATTCTCAAGGACATGAATTATAAAGAATCAAAGAATCAATACATGCTTGTGTTACTTGAAAAGAATAGATAATCATTAAAAAATGATATAATATTAAATTAGAATGGCTATTTTTAAAAACAAGAAAACTAGAGGCTCTTGAAACAAAACTAAAGACAAAAAATGCATTGATAAGGATGAAGAAGACATCACTCTTGCTTCTATGTATACTATCTAACTAAGAGCTATATGGTGACATTCTATAGAATCTTCGACATGTGTTTAACTTGCAAGTCAAGTTTCACATGCGTGCTAGTAGACAAATTTTTATTACAAGTAGACAATATATATAATATATGGCCAAATTGTTGATTAAATTTTCAACCTATCAATCACCTACAAAATCAAATCCAGATCTATGAAACTTATAAAAAGCTTTTCTATAAGATATTATCATATCTATTTACATTTATCTTATACCTAATACTTCTTATTTAAATTAATATGTATGTCAATGCCAATAAGTATTTATTTTTATTGATTAATAATAAAAAATAAAAAATATATTAAATACTTGATACTATTAATTATACACTATAGAATATATTTAATTTTTAAATTTTTGATGAAATATTAGATATTATTAATTTTTAATGGATTAATTATTAGGATATTAATTTTATATAATTATATAACTATATATAACTATATATTCTTATAGATAAATAATTTTTTTGATGTAATTTTTTTATGATATTATTAAATACTTTATAATTTAAAATTATAATTTAATAAAAAAAAAATTATGATTATTTTTACGAAGTTTCATATAAAACAAATTATCAAAAAATTCTTTTGAAGTTAGAGCAACTTCATCTTTGGACAATGAAATCAATATTAATTATTGATTCAATTTTCTTTTAAGCATATTTAGTCAAGTATGACTTTGGAATCCTTGTGTGTGATATTAAGAATATGTTTTTTTAAATCTCATAATACTTCCAAGTTGAAATTCAAGAAGAATCTACTCTATTTCAAGGAATACTTATGTATTCTAAAAGATGAAGTACAACTACATACTCTTCAAGCTTGTGACAACTTCCCAGCTGCAAGACATTTTACATACAACAAGACTTTGGAGCTATTATCAAGAGATTTTTGGTAGCTTTTAAAATGTATAAGGCAATAAAAAACTTTGTACAATCAAATAATGTTTATTAAAGATCAAAAATTCTTTTTCATTAATCTTATGGACTTCTTCAACCATTACCTATACAAGAATAACTATGGTCTTTGGTTTTTATAGATTTTATCATAGATCTTTCAATCTCAAGTTTTTATTGCTCTAAAGTTATGTTATTAGATTGTTTCACCAAGGTGGAGTATTTTGTAGTATGTACAAAAAAATTCAAAAGCAAAGAAATAACTAATTTTTTTTAATAATATTTGCTATTATGGATTATGAAAGGATATTGTGTCAAATAGACGGATTTAATTTGTATCAAAGTTTTAGAGATTTCTTTTTTAAATATTAAAAGTAGATATATAAGTATCTTTGATTTTTTATTCTTAAATTATTTTTGAATTTATATGTATTTGTAAGTAATTGGTGGATTAGAAACTTAATCAATAATTTGGCCATATATAACTGTCAAGTACAAAAATTTGAAGAATATAAATAAACAAGTGATTTATTTTTAAAATAAATAAATAAATAAATAAATAAATATGTATAGTAAAAAAAAATTATAATGGCTATTGCCAAAAGATTAGAAAACTAAAGATTCTTGAAATTAAAGTAGAAGCAAGAAATAAATTGAAAAGAGTGAAGAAGGTCTTATTATTGTTTTTATGTATACTACCTAATTAAGAGCTATATAGCAATATTCTATATGATATCAAATAAGTGTCTAATTTGCAAGACAAGCTTCTTATATGTGTATTACTTGTCCAATTTGTACTATATGTGTAATAAGTGGCTAACTTATTTGTAAAGTTTTCAACCTACCAATTACGTATAGACACGTATAAAAGCAAAGTTGCATCTACAAGATGTTATCAAATTTATCTATTTTTACTTACTTCAACCTATTCATATTATCTAAATAATTATTAGAGTAAATATAGATTTCCATGATAGTTACACATATTGGCAACTTATATTATTGAGTTGGTTATGTAGTATACATATAAGAATTTATGTTTAACTTATTTAATAATTATTTTAGTTTAATTATTATTAATATATTAATTTAATAATATTATTAAATATTTCTCTTTTTAAAATTAATTTATGACTTCTTTATTTTAATATCAATAGAGTTTTTTTTTTTAAATATATATATAATTTTTATTATAATTATTACAAGAGATCTTTCTCACCTTGAGTCTACTTCAAATTTTATTGCAACTATAATTGACCTTTCTTAAGTTGCCTTCATGGTCTTTGATACAAATAAATTACTCTCTCTCAATTCTCTATTGGTGTTACTATCATTTTTAATGTAGACATCATATAATTTCTTAACAAATAAAGATTCTAATCCAATATCTTCTATGGTTGATTTCCCAATTAGACTACTTCTTATTATTGTCATTAGACTATTTTTACCGATAACATTTGTCTTTCCTTGTAAAGCTCAATTCATAGAAGCTTCTTGTCTTAGCCATATCCTTCTACCTTCATATATTTATTTTTTCAAAAATAGTTAAAGAACTATATTTTTTATTTGATTTTCAAAATTTTATGTATCAACTATTTGGACGTTTTAGACATGAATTTTATTATTTAAAAAAAAAACAAACAAAAAAAAAAAAAAAACAAAAACAAACTCAAAAGCCTTCTAAAACCTTGTGGTAGATTTTTTTTTCTTTTTTTTCTTTTTTTTTTCTTTAAATATTAAACATTCATCAATGTTTTAGGTTTGTCAAAAACAAATCTCAATTAGTTTCAACAACATGGTTTTATCAAAAAATAATTAAAATTTCTCTGGTTTCTATTTCTTTTTATTTATACCTTGAGTAATCAAATTATCAAATAGTTGGACTGTTTTTGTAAAAAAATATATATATCTGCATATATCTCTGTGAGTAAATGGTTTTAATATGACTGAAACCATATTGTATATATTGTATCTTTTTAAGAGTTTTTTTTTGCATGCGTTTTTTGATGTTTTAGAATGTATTGCCTCATATTTTTATCAAATGCATTCAGCAGGCAAATATTACCAACAACATGCACCAAATCAGTAATTCAAACACATAATCCATGCATAGGAAAAACACTACAATCACACATGGCTCTGCAACTGAATGTTTTCATTACTTTTTTTTCCCAAAAAAATTCTCACATTTTCCATCCACCAAAATTTGAAATGCTTCCAAACCTACACAACATTATTTTAGGACACCCAATAGACCTAGAATCAAGTACCATTATTTCATTTTATTTTTATTTTACAACTCAAATATAATGTGATTCCACCTTATACCTCGATGTTCTTGTTGTGAGGTGTGACAACGTATTTATGAATATAAAGATGCAATCCGTGGAAGAAGACAAGACGAGGTCGGGGTTTTTTTAAAAGGAATGGAATTGGCCTCATTACCAACAACTCGTTAGGTGATCCGGCATTGGGGAGAGGAGGGAGGGAGGGAAGAATGATTGGAGAGAGAAGTGCGTTATCTGGATGGATAGACGGATGAATATGTGGATGGATGAGGTGCCTAGTATGCCCTCAAACCCTAAACAATTGGTTCTTCGTCGGCCTCGTGCACCTCCGAGTGGAGTTCTACCTCGTTGTCTCCGACGCTGTGTCTCGATGGCCATGCCCACGCGCTCCACCTAGGGTTTCATCCCCACGCCATCGCTCCCTTGCTCCGCGTTGATGTCTCCGGGACGTGGCGTTGGCCGTTCCCATGCTCACGGTAGTGCCAAAGTTTTTTTTTTTTTTTTTTTTTTTTTTTTCATTTTGTTTCCCGTTCTCATAGTACTATGTGTTTCCTTTGTTTTGGCATCGGGCTTCGCTGTGTCGCTCTGTGGTCCTCAATTTCTTGTCCACTGTGACTTGGTTTCGACTACTTTTGTTCGGTTTCAGCCCGAGTGTGCAATCATTGCGGTGCTTGGGGTTGTGTCACTAGATTCTGTTACAGTTCGTGTGGGTTAGGCGCTTGTTATTGGAACTAGTTTTGTCCGGGGTTGTTTTTCGTTTGGTCCTGTTTTCGAGCCTCGGAATAGCGTTGGAGCTGTTGCAATATTTGTTTTAGCTGTGATGAATTTGTTGCGGAGTCAGCCAGTGGATTTGTTACTGTTTCCTTGCACTGACCCGCAGCTCTTGCTTGTGGCTCTTGTAATTACCAGTCGACAGCATGGCAGAATGGTCCGGTATTTTCGGAACGGCCAGTGAAACTCAGTATAGATTTTTTAGAATTGCTTCCTCGGTCTTTTGTGTGATTGTGAATTTGTGGATTAGCGGTTGATGTAGCAAGCTGTTGAATATGACTCAGTGGTAGCAGGCTGTCCCGGTCTTGGCGACGAAGGCGCTAGGTTGTAAATGCCTCGGATAATCTATTCGAAATTGCTTTTGGATTCCGCTCAGGCGTCACTTTCGTTTTACATACCTTACTCGTCACGTGCGGGGAATATCCTTGTCCGAGGAGCAGCAGCATCACGATTGATCTTGGTGCCCCGTGAGCTTTTACTCCTTGTCCTGATGGCCCGCGTTCTGTCCGTGGTAGCCTTAACATGTTGATTCATTTTCGAGTACTATACCCAGAAGTTCTCCAATTTTGCATCATGTGCACCGAGGAATTTTTCTGCAGACAGTAGCATTTATTACGGTGTTGTCGAGTAACTCCCAAGGTGGAGATTTTGGTGTCTAGTTCGGAGGTGCTGCAGGAGGATGGGGGAATCTCTCACATTAGTTTAAGCTCGAATTTGTGTGCAGCTTCATCTGTAATCTAGAGCTTAGCTGTGGTAGGGTACACGTCTTTCTGGGATTGCCTGGACGCGGAAAATGAGAGCCAGGTGAGATAGAATCTGGACAGTGGGTGTGGTGTGAAGGATTTTAGCATTCACTTGTGGTCGTAGTGATAGGTTGGAGAACGTGCAGTTTCAGTGAGGGTATCCATTTTGTTGGGAGAAACAAGGGTAGTGATGATCGTTGGGTTTGCATTTTATATGTGCATATCGATCCCCAGTTCCTTTTTTGGATGGTAAATATAGTACGGGCAGGAAATTCGTTGTTGGCATGTAGCGAAAATGCATCCAACACCAGACGAAGTCTAAGTAGTGGTAGCCATGCTGAAATCTCTGTGGATAAGCTTAATTTTGTGTATAGCCGAGTGAGTGTCGGTCAGCTTATAGAAATGGCACGCGCCTCTAAACCCCTCATCGTTTGCTGCGTGTTGTTCTTTGGGACTTGGTGCCTGTATAGTCGTTTTTCTCAACGCACTGCCGTTGGATCCTCAAGGTACTCCACAGTCTACATGCATCGGGCGATCATGAAAGCTTCGCCAGCAATTTCTCCCATGTGGTTGTGCTGAGTCAGGATTGCATGAGCAGGGTGGAATTATAAGCTGGGTGATTTAGGGCTCGCGAATGAGTCTTGATTGCTTTCGGATTGTAATTTAGTGTTCCCCAGTTTGTGTGTTTTCCTTCACAACTCATTATGGGATGGGATGGGATGGGATGGGAAGCATCAAAACAAGGCTGATAGCCTGTGTTGTGTTTTTTGTTTTTACGTTGGCCAGTGTTTGGTGCTTGCAGGTAAAGTCCAGGGAGATCATTGCTGGTGCGCAATGCAATGCGGAGTAAAGCTTGTTGTTTGTGCGAAGATCGTTTATGAGGGTGCGAAATTTAGCTGACCCAGGCTCAATGCAGTGTCCTGATCCTCCCCTCCCTTTCCTCCCCACCCTTCCCGCAGTTCAGCATCCAGGTGCACGCTAGCAAGGATAGCCTCCTTCATGGTAACAGTCGAATGCTCTGCAAACATGGGAGCCTTGTTTTGAAAGTCATCGTGGGGCGAACTGCGGAGTTGATCCCCGCAGAACACAATGTAGAAGAGGCTTCTTGATGTAGACGTTTGTATGTGCAATACAATGTAGGACGAAGCTGGGGAAGGTGGGCGGGTGGTGGGCATAATAACATAGTCAGCGCAGTTGAAGGTGTGGTGCGGGACGTGTGGGTGGGGCTTGAGGAAAGTCGAGGGCTAAGGTAACTCATGAGCCGTTGGAAGCGGGAAGGAGTAAGCAAGAGATAGAGGGAGATTGATGAGAGTAAGGAGGGCAGCGGAAGGGAGAGTAGGGGCGGGAAGGACGATTTGGAAAGCGAGGGGCACCAAATTTTTTCCTCGCTGGCGTCAGACAAGGACACCCCCCGAGGGTGCGCCACTGGATCGTGTTGTTTGTGTTGTGGGTTACGATCGAAAAAAAGTTCTGAGCGGCGCAAAAGGGCTGCGCGCACGCCGACATTGCACGGGGATGCAGCCATGGCCCCTTCTGCACCTATAACATTTGCTCCTCCTCTGCCTACGCCTTCGTTTGGTTCAAGCGATAGACTCGCTGACCAATCTAATGGTCATGCATTAGGTTCCACCCAAAAACTTCCGGGCAAGAGTAATCTGAAGCAGACATCTACAGTAAATTCCACCCCTCACCCTTGTAATGGACCTTCGACCGTGGATAGCAAAGATGTTAAATTTGGTGAATGCCAAGTCGGGTGTGAAGAGAGCGGCCAAGTCGAGGGTGAAAGGGAGACGAAAGTGCAATGGCTCGATAACTACGGGAAGGATTTGACGCAGGTTTTTGAGTATGAGCCTAGGTACGATACAAAAAAAATTTCTTCTTTTTTGACTCATCAGTGGTGATGTTAGTCGAATTTGCCGAGGGGATGCGTCAACAGCAATGATTGGTACAGTGGTGTTCGAAAGCAGTTAACCGGCATCAGAGTTATCTGTTGGGTAGTACGTTTTAAGGCTTCAGAGATATTTGCGAATTCTTTTGCAGTGGAGTTGACAGTATTCAAAGTCCAGCGTCGGACAAAACTAGCTCCTAGTTGCAGCGCATGTGTCTATTTGGGGTGTAAATGCTTTCTTCGGTGTGTATCATGTGTAGAGAGTAATCGTTGACTCGTGCTTGTCACAATTTTTGTAATCCCTTCAAGAGTAGTTGGACAAAGCAGATGTTTAGGGTCGTATCCGATTGTAGCAATATGCGATTCAGACTTGTGTATAAATGAGGATTACAACCTCTGACATACCTCGGTGTGTGCGTGGAGCAGTAGCGACTCTGATGACTCTGAAGATTCTGACGACGAAGATTCATCACAAGCCTGCACATGCGTGATTCAATGACGGTTGCAGTGCAGGATCCAGCCATTTATCCAAAATGGGTCAAAGGTCTGGAGAGGGAGCCACAGGGTCTGGCCAGGTTTCATCAATCCAGTGCGTGTATTTGTATGACCGACTACTAGGGGTTCAGATTTGGAAGACAGCATGTACCGTGTGATACGTTTGGTGGATTATGAGAAAGGTGCTCAGGATGAGCCTGGACGGTGCTTCAAGTGCTTCAAGTGGGAACACCTCATCTTCTTCGAGGAGGACTGTTGTCCATCACCAGAGCTGTTTGCCAGGGACGGAGTATTTACAAAAAGCACCGTCCAGAGAAGCAAGCAGTTCTTTTTTGGACTAGCTTTGTGCGTTTGTAGGAAGCTGGCTGCTCGGAAGAATTGGGACAACTTCCAAAGTCTTGGCTCGGAGCTTGGTGCGTCCTTGATGGCGTGACCTTGATAAGCAAGCATGCAGGAAGGAAAGAGAGTGTGAAAAGCGTAGTTCAATCGGAGTTGGCGAGCTTTATCGTTGAACATGCTTAGTACCTTAATACTTCATCATGCTTCCTGGTGAATCGGATCCGAATATGGCAGGTCTAAACGTACCATACAATTTGCAGGGCGATGGGTATCGGAGGGGAGCAGGTTAATGGCGATCGACTCTTTTGCTGACACAGACTGGATGTACTGGTTGAGCCCGCGGTTTGCAGGTCTTTGACGGATAGTGTAGTTGAATTGTCATATTTGGTGACGTTGGTACCAAATTGAGGCTTGAGTAGATTCGCAACGTGGGCTGCTATCGTTGGGCACCTGTGGTGTTAGACCGGATCGTCAGATATCAGAGTTTGTCAAGGATGGGAAAGGTGAGCGTGATTGAAGACATGTAAATTGGTGCCCGTGATTCCTCCAGTTCCCCTAGCTTAATTTTAGCATGAGCTATGTCGTGTGTAAATGTTGTTTTTTAAGCCCTTTGAAGACGAGCTGTAAGGTATTATTATTGCTTGCTTGATGTGTTATGTCGAGAGGAAGCCGTTATTGGGGGTGGAGCGAATTACGTAGGTACCCTGCAAACGCGTTGCTGTGCGTGCCCAGGGTTCAGAGGTGTATTTGTATGTGTTGTGGTAACTTGGTGCGGGTACCTGTAAATCCCTCGGTATTATTGCTATTATAAGGTTTTTAACCAGCCACAACGGTGCGTTGCTCACTACTGCAACGGGAACCAAGATTCATACAGGGCAACCAAAGAAGTCTAGTCAATGCTAAATGCTTTTGCATTTAAACAACCACCGTTGAAACAGCATGGAGAACAGTCTTCAAGACTTACGTTGTGTACAAAATACTACGAAACTCTATCGCATTTTTTCTCTGGACGGTACATAATTATTAATCAATTGGATGTATGTATTTCAAAAACAATGGGACATATTGATAAGGTGATAGATTTTATTAATTGTATTTGGTATTCTTAATGTACTGTTTGAATAGCTGGAAAGAATTGAAGTATTATCTTGATAATTCCAAATAATTATATATATATATATATATTAGTAATTTGTTATTAAATATCTTGAATATTTTTCGTTATTAGATATGTATAAGAAAAATCTCAATTAAATTTTAATGTAAATATAAATTACATGAATTTTTTACATAATTATTATATTATATTTAAATTTTATTTTAATAATATAATAAAATATTAAATAATATTTTATATTATAAAGATTAAAAAATAAAAAAATAAAAAACAAGCTTCTATGTGTAATTAAGATATTAATGTCACCACAATATTTGACACTACCACCACAATCTCCCATCTAGTATAAGCTATTGTTGTTTTTATTACTTCCTACCAAAACCTCATAATATTTTAGTACTTTTTTTATTTGTTTTAGCTTAATCAAAAAGATTGATAATATTTTCAATGTTTTTTTTTTTTTTTTTTTTTTTTTTTCCAAATTATACATTAAATAAATTAAATTTTAATAAAATGATTCAAAAGTTAATAAAAATAAGTTGTAGTAGTAATGGCAAAAATTGCTATGACATGCACTTCATGACAAATTGTAGTAGCAATAGCAAAAATTGTAATAACATTGGCAACATCCTACAAATAAGCTTAAGAAGACATAGAAAGAGATAATCTTCCTATTGTTTATATGAATAGAAATACAATAATTTTATCTTATATTAAAATTAAGATAAACTATCATATATACTTCAAATACACTAAAATATTAAAAATACTTTTGCATTCTTGATAATAGCAAATATATTCCTTATATTTTTTATAATAGCAAATGTATCTCCAAATATGATTAGGTATCACTAATTTGACAAAAGCACATTAATTCTCATAGATTCCATTACTTATTTTGTCTTTGTATAGAGTACAAACTGAGTGCTTTAATGATGTCACTTGCAATTAGATCTTAGCTTGCTTTTTTGTCATTTCACATCATAGATTTTGTCTCATTGATTTTTGGCATCTAAAAAATTCCTTCTTAGAATAGTATTCCAATTGAAATGAGACTGAATTATCTCTAAGATCTAAGATCCTTTTAAATCATAGTAATATAAATTTCATCACAATGTAAGACAACATAGATTAGATCAAAACTAAATAGATTAGAACATGAAAGGCAGAATAGAGCAAAAAAAATAAAAAATAATAAAAAATAAATAGAATTGAACAAAAAAGTATAAAACCAAACTTTACTACGAGAAAAGAATCAAAGCTATATATGTTCGGATATTCAAATGGCCTTGATTACTCCTATTTATACTTAGTCCAACCATCCTAGAACTTTCTAGAATATTCTTAATAGTAGATCCTACTTAGATAACCGCCTTAAGTCCTTTCTAGAATGTTCTATGGTAGATCCTGCATAAACCACCAACCTAGTCTCAATTCTAGAAACTTCTCAAATATGGCTCCAACTACCTATTTCTATGTGTCAACAATACAAATATCTTATCTATATCCTATTATAGTTAATCTTCTTCTACTAATGTGGAATGTCCTTGTTTTGCTCCTGATGGTATCTCCAAATTTTTTCTTGATAATAGATGAGGTTCTATGGAAATTTGCATGTTGCATTGTAGATAGGATAACCTTTCTAGAGAATTTTGTATTGAAGTTGTAGATGTCTATTACCATGATAAAGATAGCAATGGTCTAAAATAATATCCTTTTGATACTTTTGTTAGTTATCAATCTTAATTGGTGGTAGTTGGTGGTGGTTGGTATTGGTCCAAAAAGCACCTTGGCTTAGTATAAAACTCTATAAGTTGCAAAACATGGAAGATTGGATAGATTCAAATATGTGGCAAAAATTGGAGGAGGTATGCAATATTAGAAATTATTATGATAATGTAAAAATGTCCAAGCCATGAAGTTGCTAACTTACAAATTTGGGTTGATGTAGCAAATAGAAAGTTGGTATTGGATAATAACACTTGGTCATCCTTCCAAAAGATCTTATGTTATAGGTGGTTACTTGCATACTACTTGTATCAATTTTGTAAGGTAAGGAGGCAATACTTTGCCTCTTGCAAGGCCATTATAAGCCATTGTATAAATTCCTCAGTTGTCGAGTTGTTGAAATCAATGGAACAATGGAAAGTTATCAATATAATTGGATGTTGACAGGTGTTAAGGAAGAATAATAAATGACTGATACTTGCTTGAATACTATCATTGTAAGCAAACTCTAACAATGTCAAATATTCATCTTAGTCATTATGATGAACTACCACAAATATCCATAGTATATCTTTCAAGGTTTGATTTGCATGCTCTACTTGTCTATCTGTTTGAGGATAGAAGGTTATGGACATGGCAAGTCATGAGCCTAATAGCTTGAACAAATCTTGCTAGAAACTTCCCTTGAAGCGTGGATCTCGATTTAAAACAATGACATGAGGTAATCCATAGTGGCAAAAGATAATATTAAAGAAGAAACATGCAAGTATTAAGGCATCAATATTAAGGCATACCATAGCCAAGTGAAGTTGTTTCAAAAGTCAATCTACAAAGATAACAATCGTAGTGTAATTGTGAGGTGCTTGTGACAAACACGTATTGAGATGTATAGTCATCTGCTCTCAACATGCCGTAGGTAGTGAAATTGGCTGCAATAGTTTAGGAGATGTTGCATTATGTGCTTTGTTATGTTGGCATGACTCTTAAGAGTGCATATAAGCTTGAACATTACAATCCAAACTTGCCCAAAACTATGTTCTTGAGATTCATTCTAAAGTCTTTTCATGCCTTAGATGTTCAGATATTAAAATGTCACATCTCTCTTAAAATATGCACATTCAGAGTATAACATTGTCTAGTATATAAATCCACTTTTTAAAATAGAACAAGCCATCACTAAAATGGCAATCTTCATATTGTATATTGTCCACCTTCAATCAATCAATAATTATCTTAAAATAAGCATTTTGATGCATGGCTTCTTTCTATTTTGCTCCTCTGATTATGTTTGAAATGACACTACTAATGGTAGTCACTTTTGTCTTATCTTTTGGTTTGGGCTTCATGTTTGGTTTATACAATAAGATGTCCAATATAGTGTATTGTTGCCCTTGCTTGTATTTGAGCTAAATATCAAAGAATTATAATTGTTCTTCTCAATGATAGTGTCGTGATTTCATATTTTTTAGATGCAAATTGTGTAGCAAGGGCCAATGGTCACTCCAAACAATCATCGGCTTTTCCAACAGATACAATTTTCATATCTTTGTAGCATGTACAATTGCTAGTTTCTCTCAATCACATATAAAGTAATTCTACTCTATCCTTTTGAACTTACATGATTCATACATGAAAGGTTGAAGGCCCTTACTTAAGTCTTATCGAAAGACTATGCCAATAGCAAAGTCAAAAGCATCAATGTTAAGTATATTGAAGGTTGGAATGATATGATTGCAATATTGGAGCAATAATAAGTACTTCCTTCAACTTATCAAAGGTCCTTTTCTACTCCAGTTTCCTTTCAAATAGAACATCTTTCTTTAATAGGTTTATTAGTGAGACAGTAATGTGTACAAATTGTTAAACAAAAGAGTGATAATATCTAGCAAAACTTAAGAATGAACAGACATTAATAGCATCCTTGGAGGTTGGTCAATCTTCCATTGCTTTCTTTTTATCATGCTCCATGCATACATCTTTAGAGGACACAACATGCTCCAAAAAGATGACCTCTAACTTTTAAAGTTCATACTTTGATTACTTATAATAGAAGTAACTATCTTGTAGCCAACATAGCACTTTCCATAGATATTCTTTTACTTCTCAAGGTTTTTATTATAGACTAGGATACTATCGATGAAGACAATTACATACTTATCCAAAAGATCTCGAAACAATCTGTATATGTGATCCATGAAAGAAGCTCGAGTATTGATAAGGCCAAAAGGTAAAATAAGCCATTTAAAATATCCATAGTGCGTACAAAAGGCTATTTTTTTTATATCTTCTTTTGTAATAGGTCTTTGCCAATAGTCACTCCAAAGGTCCAATTTGCTAAAAATGATTGCATCTCAAAGTTGGTCAAAAAGAACATCTATGCATGAAAGTCAATATATATTTTTAATATTTTGTTTATTGAAGCCTTAATAGTCAATACAAAGCCAAAGTCTACCATTCTTTTTGAATACAAAAAGTACAAGTGCTCTTTTTGGTGATGTACTTTCTCAAATGAGGCCTTTTTTTAAGAATTCATCCAATGTCTTTTTTAGCTCTTTTAATTTACTTGATACTAGGTAATAAATTAGCAAACTTTTCAGTTTAGCTCCAAGCAATAATTGTATTTGGAAGGAAGTACCTCAATCAAGTTGCATATCGTGAAGTAAGTCGATTGGAAAGATATTTTAATATTCATGTATGGCTTGCTTTACTTTTTCTACTCTTTTGGTTGACTTTTCTACCATTGATGCAAGATTTGGAATGACCATATACATATATATCAATTGCTTATGTTGTATTTGCTTCTTTATAAAGGTCATTCTTATAAATAAGCCTTTAACTATAGATTATTTTTCTACCTCACTTGATGTAGAGGTACAAAAAGTCACCTTGCGTTTACCATCTTTGAAGGATATTGTCCTTGCTAGCTAATCAATTTGCTTATTTTCCACCTCTAGCCATAGCATATCAATGATACATTGTATCTGAGCTTTATTATCTTGAACTTCGCTCTTAATGCATAGGTGTCATTCAATCTCAAGATTTCTTCCTTACATGTCTCATTTAATATGTTCTCTTAGTCATCTACTAGATATATACTCTTTCCTTGGATCACCTTGATTTTAATTCCAAATCGATTGGCAATCCTAGTTGAGATGCAATTTTTTGTAGACGTGCAATCTATAAGTACTCGACATGGCTATCATCTTATTTGACATATTAGATATACAAGTCAATCCTTTTAATAGTTATCTAAAACTATACCATTTGTCTTTAACTTATAACTTTTATTCCTATTATTAGCCCTTGGTGTTTTTATTGGAAAGCCCTATTTCCTTGCTTCATTTTGTTATCAACTTGGTGAGTCTTGAGATTATGAATCTGCTTTGATTTATTTGCCTTTATAAAGTAGCTATGTGGCCTAAAAAGTACTATATCTGAGTCTCTATCTAAAATTTTTTTGTTATATCTTCCATGCTTCAATTTCTTTATTAAACGTTGCTATTGTAATGCCTTCTCTCCTTCAAGTAGATTTCTTAAAAATAGCTTGTAGTAGCGCCAAAACAATACTTAATGTGACTACAACAATTAATCTCAAATTAATGATAGCTATCAACATACTACCAAAGAATAGACTAACACTTACTTTGATATTAATCAAACAAGGCTAGATTATCTCTAAGATGTAATATTCTTCTAATCTATAGCAATATGAATCCTGTCATAATATAGGACAGTATAAATCAGAGCAAAGTTAATTAAATTGAAACATAAAAGGTAGAATAGAACAAAAGAAAATAGAACAAAATTGAACAAAAAAGTACAAAATCAAACTTTACTAAAAAAAGGAATTGAAGCCATACTTGATCCAATATTCAAATGGCCCTAGCTAGTCCTATTTATACTTTATTCAACCATCTTGGAACTTTCTAGAATATCCTTAATGATGGATCCCACTTAAATAACTGCCCTAAGCCCTTTTTAGAATGTTCTATGATTGATCTCATATAAACCACCAACTTAGTCCCAATTCTAGAAACTTCTAGAAAGTTCTCAAACATGGCTCTAAGTATCTATCTCTATATGTCAGCAATACAAATATCTTATCTATATTTCGTTACACCAATGCTTGGTTGAAGCAACATTTATTTTGACACAATATTCATATCCTTCAAATTACATTTTAACTTCTGGAAGGAAGAAATTTTTTTCTATTGAAATAATTGCACCTTTTAAATTACAAATTGTCCAAAATTTGGGTGTATTACAAATATTGAATGTTTGTCTTTTAATATTTGAGCAAATTCACAATTTATTTGCCAACACCACCTAAGTAAGAGCATTGATCTTTAAAACCTCTATTATTCGATCATCTCACATCTTAGTCCTTCTCTTGATTCATCTCACATCCACAATCTTGTCATATCAATATTACCTTTATAATTGCTATGCACTCTATAATACATGGATTTGTTAATATTCAATTCACACATCTATATGGTCAATATTCAATTTCATACTATGTTATTCCATCTCGATACTTCTACTTCTAAAGAGGTGCATTATTTATAACATTGGATTAATAAAGATGCTTTGCGCTATTCGTGATGTCCTACTATATTTTTTATATAAATGCCCAATATCATAGCAAGAACTATTGGCATATCATTCAAATCATACTACATATTCTATATGCCCTTGGATACCATACATAGGCAAATTAATTTTGCTTCATTTATCTAAAATTTGGAACTGCTCTCAAAAATCCTTCTTCTATTAATATTCTTTTGAATAATTCAAAGTCATTAGTTGGAGAACTAGCAAAATCTTACCATCCAATAGCATGCAACTCAAAAGATGTAAGTATTGTAGCAAAGAAAGCATGGCTTTAACCAAGTACTGGAATGCTATTCTAAGAAATAACTTTTTAAATGACAAAAATCAATGAAACAAAATCTATAATGTAAAATGCCAAAAAGGCGAGCGAAGATATAATTGTAAGTGATATCATTAAAGCACACAATTTATATTCTATATGAAGATAAAATAAGTAATGGAATCTATGAAAATTGATGTATCTTTGTCATATTAGTAATATCTTATTATATTTGGGGATATATTTGCTATTATAAAAAATATAAAGAATATATTTGTTATTATCAAGAATGCAAAGATATTTTAAATATTTTAGTATATTTAATATATATATATATATATAATAGTTTATGAAACATGACTAATCTATCTCAAGTGTCCAAGATCCTTCTAATCCACAATAATATAAAACTTCATCATAAGGTAGGACAAATTGGATCAAAATAAAACTAAACAAAACTAAACAGAATGAGATATGGAAGACAAAATTGAACAACCAAAATTAGAACAAAACATAACAAAACAAGAAGATACAAAATCCAATTGTATTAAGAAAAAAGTTCAAAGCCATACCTAACCAGATGCCTCCAAAAAGCCCTGGCTAGTCTTATTTATACTTTGTTCTATCACCTAGGACTTTCTAGAATGTTCCTAGGTGGTGGATTTTACTTAGATAAATGTCTTAAATTCCTTCTAGAAGATTCTATGGTAGTTCCCACCTTGATAACTATCCTAAGCTTTTTCTAAAAGATTCTATGGTGGACCCTATATAAATAACCGCCCTAAATTCTTTCTAAAATATTCTACAATGCATCCTGCCTAGTCTACTAACCTAATCTCAATTCTAAAAACTTCTACAGTTCTAACTATCTATCCCTATGTGTCAATAATACAAATATCTTATCTATACCTTGTTACAATTTATCTTAATTTTAATACAAGATAAAATTATTATATTTCTATTCTTACAAACAATAATATAATTATCTCTTTTTATGTCTTCTCAAGCTTATTTGTAGGATGTTGCCAATGCTATTATCAAGCCTTCAAATAACTTGTACTTGTTGTTTGTGACTATTAGATATAAGACTTTAAATTTTTTATATCAAAAATAATATATTATATATAACATCTTTTTTATCAAGAACATATGAAAATGCTTCAAAGTCTTATAAGATAGAGATAAAATTTATAATGTTTTCAAATTCTATCAAATATTATGCCATGAAACAAATAAAATGTTTAAATTATGATATAGAACTTTTAGAAAATAATATTGTTTAAGATTCTAGCTACATTATCTTAAATGTATTTTAGTTTCTTCTTTTGATGTAGTTCCTTCTTTTGTAATTAAAATCTTTGTTATGAGACTAAATCCTTATCATTTGATAGGCCAACAAACTATTATAATTATAAAATAAGATTATAAATCTTTAATTTATTGATATTTCTATGAATCAACATTTAAATGGCTCATACACACTACACTTGAAAGTCTTAATTAATATTAATCTTAAAATGCATATTAAAGAAGAAATTATAACTTTGATTATTATATTTTATGGTATAATCAATACAAAAAAAAATTGTCAAACAATTTAAATTATAATTACATCAAATTATCCATGTAAGTGCAAACAAGAATAAAACAATGCAAAGAAATAAATTATGGTATAAAAAAAGTTGACAACTTTGCTAAACTATCAAAACTTCAAAAAAATTATATAAAAAAATAATAATATTCAACAACTTTTTATGTAAATGATTTGGTAGATGGACAAAGACAAAGTAAGTAATAGGCCATAAACAACAAAGAAGAACTTAAAGAGTTACTTTTTACAATGACAAGTGAGCATAATAATGAATCATAAGGTTGGCTTACAGAAAAAGGGTGTGCAAACATAATATCCATTTTAAATGTAACATTGAAAAAAAATACATATTTAGATTTTGGCATAGAAGATATTTGAAGGCAGACAAATATAGAGGTATTAGCTATTGGCCTTCAATTTTGAAACATTTAATATTTTTAATGGAACCATTTAATAATATAATAATAACTAGTTTATTATAAATAATATTAGTTTATTAGATAAAACAACTATTTTTGTGTTTTATAAATTAAGTAATATAAGTTATTTGCTCATGTACTAAGTATATGTATATAATAATAAAACACACATATATTAATTGTAAGCTAAATCTATCAAATCTTTTGTCAAACTTTTATTGTATAATATTTTAATAAGCCACAAGTTAATAATAATAATATTAATTATTCATTAAATATATGTCTATATTAGATTATCATATTTATTTAATTAAAAAAATGATGTTATATTTTTTTATCAAAATATAAATATATCTTATATATATGACATTCGAAATAATATTAATTTTTATTTTTATTTATTTTTCTTGATTTTTATAAAGTAAAAAAATACAAAATAAATTATTAACTTATATTTATGTTGTTAAATAATGTATTATTTTATTTACTTTGCAATATGTATTAAGTGTATACTTATAGAGTATTAATTCTCTCTATATACAATTGTATTATAGTATTTATTACATAAGTTTCAACCAATTTGTTAGGAACTATTCCTATAGTTGAATTTTTGTATATAGCCAAAAATCCTAAGATAAGTTTGAGTTGATTCTCACAAAAAAAAATAAAAAATAAAAAATAAACAAAAAAAAGAAGCAATAAAACAAAATAAAACAAACAAACAAACAATATAATAAAATAAATTCCCAACAAATAATATTATTTTGAATAAATTTTTTACTGGATCACTTTTATTGTTTGGAATTGGTGGCCCAATGATGTAACAATAGAGGCATTTTACGGGTTATTCTATCAAGCCCTAGAAATATGTTGCATGTGGCCACATAGAAAACCCTAAGTTGTTGCATGTGGCCACATAGAAAACCCTAAGTTGTTGCATGTGGCTACAAAGAAGGCATGGAGAGGTGGTTTAGCGTGGATATGTTAAAGAGCGGGCTCCCTCCGTTTGCTTTTCAGGTTTGCAAATATAAACGTGGAGAGAGCGAGCGGGAGGCGTGGGAGCGTCGTTGTAGATTTAGATTCTAGGGTTTCGTCGAAACCCAGAAAACACCGTGAGCTTCTTGCTAAATTCCGTGGTGGGTGCGATGCATCTACCGACTCTGTCGCGATCCATCGACTGATCGTTGCTTTTACAGCTGTTATTGTGGTGGGTTTTATTTGTTGAAAGCACTGCGAGTGAGCGGAAGAGGCGGGCGGAAAGTAAAGCATAGCAACGGAGATGGGGAAAGAGTTGTATTTCATCGGAGCAGAGTAGGAGATTGGGGAGCAGAATTCTTTAGGATTACTGCGGTGGAATGTGTTTTTGAGATGGCTGCTTCAAACTCGCTTTCGAATGGGCGCGCCGTGCACCGTCGCAATGGATTTGGCGCTGGTGGTGCGAGCCAGAACCACAAGGCCATGTCATTGTTTCAGTGTCAACCGGAGTATCATCAGGACTGTGCGCGATTGTATAGCAACGATAACTGCGGGGATGTCAAGCAGTTTCGGGGGAACTTTATGAACTCTAAAGATGCCAGTCGTCGGAAGAGGGTACGTTGGTCTATTCTCTGTATTGGTGGTAGTGGCATCTACTGTGGCATTGTTTGTTCGACATGCGGTGAGTAGTCGAGATCTATTCGGTGGTGGCCCGGGTTGGCCACTTCAGGGTGTCTAAGTGGCGTTGATGTATTGATCTACTCGTTCTCGGAACATTTGGTGTACATTGGCTTTCTAGTTCGCATGTCTTGGAACTAGGTGTGGATTCTTAATTCTACGTGATTCACTCGTCATGTAGAAAATTTTGGAGCCTCTGTTTGTGTGTGTCACCGAATTTGACCTCGTCCGCTAACAGTAGTTTGTGTTTTGAATGGTGTTGGCAAGGGTCAGTGTGTGAATGGTCTAGTATATGTGTGCACATGCACTTGCATCTGCATTTGTTCTGGATGAAAAATTTGCGTTGGATTTCGAGTTGGTTTCCATATTACTGTGTGGTGTCTAGTGTGACTTCCACTAAAGTCCCTCGCTAGTACCCTTCCACGTGGACGTGGAAACTTTTTTGACAGATTTTCACCAAGGTACTCGTGAACTTGTACCTGTCTGTAGCAGATATGCGTAACGTGAGGGTTTTCTCGAAGTCACGATTCTGGAGATCTTTCCTGTGGGTTTCCGTTTGTTAATCATGTACATAATGTACGGAATTTACCAGAGAAAGAAAGCCGTGTTAAGAATAATTAAGCCAACATGGTTATTTACAGTCCAATGAATATTGAGGCTTACTGAAGTGTTTGGTGCGCCCATATTTTTGGCTGTCCGTCCTTTAGGAGTTGTGGTAGCCATTTCTATCAGCAACATGGTGTGCTTCACGAAGTGCGCAAGCATACGAAGACGCGGATTGGAGGAAGGGTACGGATATGAGGAGACGTAGGTGTCTTGCTCCGTCCTCCTCACGTTCGCTCAGGATCAAGTATAGCGGCGTGATATGTGTTTTAAGTTTCATGACGAGGTAGGAAGTACATCGAGCTTTTTAAGTCCGGTCTAAGTTTTCGCGGCTTATTTTCAATTTTACTGATTTTGACTTGAATAGATATTATTTTCTATTCGCATGTTTTGTTCTTCGTGCATTGTCCTTTTTTCCAGCTAATCTCGGCCTCTAGTTAGGTCGTAATACGTGGGTAGTTTTTTCTATATTCTTGTCCCTTGATCGATTGCGATGACATGTCGATTGGTATGTGCACGGTTCAGTCTGGTTTGGGGTTGTATTCCCTTAAGCACCACAGGATCTACCTGAAACTGCAATAAACACTTTTAAGGTTATTTTCTTGGGAGCTGAGAAAGAGGATGACTTAATTCGACTCTCAATTGGAACTTCACTAGTATCTTTTTCTGGATTCCCAGTCTTCGGTAGTTCTTGCGACAGCAGAGTTAGAAGTTGGTGAACGTAGGCGTGTCGGCCTCAGTAGAATGATTTGATAAGGTTTATCCCCTCCGAGCTCTTCAAGTCTTAAGACGATACTGAGAGATGATGCATGTGTTCAGGGAAATCGGTCCCCCAAATTGAAGCAGTGTAAGCTGGACGCCCGCAGGGAACAGTGGTTGTCACAGTGTTCACAAGGTAGCTCTTTTTGCATGTAGAGCTATTCAAGAGTGCATTTCGAAACTAAAAAGATATGATTGATAGTGTTTTTTGCTTGGTCTTGTGGATCAGTCTTGTTTTTTCGACTTAGGAGTATTGTGCGTGGAATATGTCTTTTCTCTTGTCACGTCGTAGACGGTCTGTGCTTCTCAATAATCGTGTCTTCAATTTATATCTGCTCACTTTTCGCTGTGTCTGTAGCCATGAAGTTTTAGAGCTAGACATGTTCATTATTCTATTTATATGCCTGGCACCGGTAGAAGCGGCCGTTCAAATAAACCACCTTGTCTCTTACTTCAGTCTGTTGAGCAAATCACATGTACACTTAACCTACCTTCAGATATCTTACATCCCAGATATCAGTAGTAGGTTATGCATGAATGTATGGATTGTTCAATAAATTACACTACAAGAATCATCCGTTTGGTTATGTCTTCGGCAGGTCGTTTGTGCATGGTGATGCCTTCGCTTTTAATAATGGGAACAATACCTTCAAACGTCGAGGATCACTATGAGTGGCTTACTTAGCAATGTTGCTAATATTTTCATGTTTTTCATGTAACGGCAGGCTAGCAAACTGGCCGTGAGTTTTCTGCTTTACTGAACTATGACTTGGATATATCCTTGATGCTTATATCAGAGAGGCAAGGGAAGGCCGGAAAGCAGCAACAAAATGATCTATCACATTATCGAAATTGCGTGCACCATCCCAAGGCAGAGGATGGAGAGTGCATGGCGCAAGAAAGGGCGTGTCCATCAGGACATTCCCGAAGCCAAAGCTTAGGTTCGATTGGATCTGTGAGTGAACGAACACTTACTGGTTCACTTGTCACGCACTCGCGGACTTCAATCATTGGTTTGATAAACGAAGTCAAGGATCTTAAAGAGGTTCCGGCAAGGAGGAATGGTGTTTCGTGCAGGTCATCACAGCATTTTGGAGACGAAGAACTGGATGAAGGAATTGGACATAAGCAGAGCCTAAAGTATCGGCGTTCAAGTAGTGATGCAAGCAAGTTAAGATCGAATAGCTCGTGTGCAAGTAACAGCTGCACAGGAAGTGACTCCGAAGACAATGACGAGTCACATGATGTGAACGATGCCTGGGAGTCTGCTTTTGACGCGTTGCATATACAGAGTTCCCTATATCGATCTGAAGGATCCCACAAATGTCCTGGTTCTGATCGAACTCTGCGTAGTGAAGGAAAAGAGCAGCATGACAGAAAGCAAAATGGTGCTTATCATTACCACACGCAGCATGGCCAATCAAAACATGAGTACAAGTACAAAAATTCCAGTCTGGGAAGTAGGAGAGGGAATGGAGGAAGGGCTTGGCGTTCTGATGATGTTTCTCGACCCCCAACTTTGCCGACGCTTGCCGAGCGGCATAAGCACCCAACACACGCTAACAACCACCACCAAGGATGGGGTAATGGGAACAAGTGGGGGAATCGACCAGCGTCGCCATCTTATTGCCCTATATGTACAGAGGAACTTGATATGACTGACTCATCATACATGCCCTGCCCTTGTGGCTTTCAATTGTGCCTGTTCTGCTACCACAGAATCGCATCTGATGATGGGCGTTGCCCGGGCTGTAGAAAGGCCTATAACACTGATGTGGCTGTTCAGGTGTCACGGTCTTCTGCTGTTTGGCTACATGTTTGATTAATGCAGTAGGGTACATTCTTCTCTCATAGAATGACAGAAGGATTAAATAATGTTTTAGGTCCCTATCATATAATGATACTAGTGTGCTCATATCGGTGTAGCAAAGGTTTCTGTGGTAAGAAGCATTGCATATGCGAATATGGTATATACTTGTCCGGCTAGTTGCCTTGAACAAATAATTTTTGTTTGTCTGTTTGTTTTTGTTTTGTTTGTTTTTGTTTTTGTTTTGTTTTGTTTTGTTTTTTTTTCGCGAACTGGAGCTGCTTTCTGTCAGAATAGCGTAAGGCATGCAGCTGATTTGGAAAGTATACCCTAAGTACATCGACATATTCAAACCATGAGTAAACATGTTTGCCTTAAATATTTAACAGTTTTTGTTTTGAAGTTATTTTCACAAATCTCTTCAAGAAAAATGGGAGATATACCAAGTTTTGTTTAAGGGTCAGATTACAACTTTCAATAGTAGGCGTACATGAGTACTTCTTTATTGTACTGCCGCCGGTGAGTATGTAACCACCACACGCGACCAATCAGACTAATTCAGCTAACATCTGCAGTTATCCAATTCACAGCATGCAACTTATGGAATGACACTCAACCCACTGAAATGCTGTGAAAAAATACAAAAGGAAAGAGAGAAACGTGATAAAGCTCTGTCAACAGGTAGTTTTCAATCACAACCGTATGGGGTAAGTACCCTGCACACTCCCACACTCACTCTAATATGTCGTGGCTAATCGAGGGTGCACTGATACGAAATACTGAAAAAATAGTACACAACCCAGGTCCAGTCTACTTGAAAGCTGTAAAGAACCTGTTGTACATTACCAGGAAAAAGAAAAACGCATATATGATCAAATACCTAAACTTGCATGAGGGCTAAAGAATTACCTGGACGTATACTCGAACACAAGCTTAAAAATGCCTAATACTAGAAGCTGAGCTACGAAACACCACATGGTAATGCAAAGTTATATCAAGGATGCGAATGAAAAAATCCGATTCCACCAGGAAATCCTCGTTAATATGTTTAGTGCTCGTGTGACAAGAGATAACCTATTTCTTTTTCAATGCCCATCTGGAATAAGATGCGGATAGCTGCTTGACTACTGGAGCTTCGACTGTTACATTAGGCGTGTCCCAGCTTGAGGGACCTCCTGTTCCAATCTCGGGCTCCTTCAACAGAGTCAAAGCCTCAATTCCCCGTTTCCTCTTCCACACACCCACCGGCGCTTTCTTGGCCTCTATGACGGCAATCACACCGGAGTCTTGATGAGTATCTGATGCTTTTTTCGTCTCTATGGGATATGTCTGGATCAACTCTACAAATGATTTGCCTGGTGAATCTTCATCTTGCATCTCTTTTTGTGCTCGTGACTCTTGCTCTTTAGGTTTGACTTCAGTGGGTTTCATCTTCTTTGCTTTGGTTTGATTTGTAATCGTCGTTAAATTGGCTTTTGCAACAGGTTCATCGCTTGCCTTTGAGGTCTTCTCTTCTCCGTATTTCCGTCTCACTTTTCCAGGGACAAGAGGGTGTCCATCTAAAATTTGCAGAGTTGGAACAAGATTTTTCAACTGTGCCACATACAGGGCTCAGTCTTTAAGACGTAATCCAAAGCAGAAAGTTTGATATAATTATGTAAATGAACAGGGTATTCAATATCCTCAGTGAAACGCTTACTGTCCCAGGCCAAATAGAAAGAAGCAACAGTAAACATACAAAAATTCCAAAAAGCAGGGCCCTTAAAAATTGGATGACATCCTTTGGAACAAAAAACAAAGATCAACTTTACCTCTTGCTCATAATCCGGTACAGAGCAGATAGGGCTTCCACGTAGATTTAAGTTGGATAGACTATGCAAAGATTTGAGTACCTGCTTCCATGTAAGGGCCAAACGTTAAGTGCTTTTACGCTATTGCTGTGTACAGCCGTGCAAGGTCAACATCAGGGGAAGCCTGGTCTAGGAGGTAACAAATAGTCAAAAAGCTCATCGTCAAATTCTATAATACCTGAAGGCTTTGCCAATTTTGCAAGTTGTTGTTGCCAAGGTCGAGTATACGAAGCCTACCGTTCCTTTCTATCTCCTTGGGCAGATCCTGATGAGCAAGAGATTGTCCAGAAAAATGACTTCCGGCGTATATTCAGGGCCAGCATAATCAAAGATCGTAATTAAAAGCTTTTCCTACCATTCAAAAAATAGGCATACCGATAGTTGATTATGAGCAAGCCGCAGTTCTTCCAGTGCAACACATCGCTTCAACGATGCTCCTAGCACCTGAATTTTACAATGCGATACCGAAAGCTGGAGACAGGAAACATAACAATCTTCAAATTAGAGTCCATATAAACTTAGCATCATCAACATGCAATCAACTACTTTCAATAATCACTGAGAATGTCAGAACCCTACATGTATAGACAAAATTATAACCAGAATAACCATATGCAGCGAAGAGACCATCATCCCTAATCAAGTTTAGATATGAAATTTGCATACGAAAGTTCGATCACTGCCAAGAAAGATACAACCGAATTATCTCATAAAATACTAGCATACATTCTGCATGTCTAACTTTGGACACCTAAATGCAATCACAGGAAGGATGTAGCAGATCCATGATTACCTTCGTCAACTCTAATTGCTTGTTCAAGGATTTCCCCAATTCTCGGATCGGGTTATGTGACAACACTGTCCAATAAACAATGCAACTCATCAGTCATTGCATTGTTGACTACTCTGTTGCCTATGACATCTCATTTCACCAGAAGAGCCATTTAGCAAAGAAAATTAGTTGACTTGAGCGCTAGGATATCATTGGTTTATTCGTTGTTGAATATTAAATCAAGTTATACAATTATTTAATGTACTCTGAGTAAGCTCGAGCAAAGGAAGACGCCATTGAGTAATATACTTTGATAGAAAAAATAGAGGGCGTCACGACACAGCAAGGTCGCACCTATGGTATTCAACTTGACAAGGTTATCGAAACGAGTGACACGTGTAATCTCGTTGTCTGCATCACAAACGTAATAATAATTAGAAATACGGATAATAACTACAAGCACAAATATGACTGATCTTCGTTCTACGATCGAACGCACGCATTTAGACATATACAAAACTAGTTCATTAGTCCTTTATTTGGACAAAGCAGCGCACAGTTAGAAGAGCTATGATCATTTAACATCAAGGAAAAGACTATCTTTTAAACCCACTGCTCTCCCCCCTACAATTCTAAGTTTCCCTGAGCCCAGATTTGCGAACACTCACGACCCAGATATGTTGTAGAGATAGGAAACTCACTATTCAGAATAAGTGCCCGCAATTCTACGAGGTTCAAAATCTCAGAGACAGAAGTAAGAGCATTGCGGCTGGCATTTAGCACCTTCACCCATCCATCAGTACACACATGATAACCAGCAGAATTTCGAAATTATGAAAAGTCTAGCCACACTAAGCCATCATTTGTGAAATAAGAGTAAGAGTTTGAGTGAATAGCAACGGCATGATGTTACTCAATATGTCACTTCCAACATGCTACATTCCTCAAAACTATATCACCAAACCCAAGCTTTCAATGCTAAATGGATCAGGCACAGAAATTCGAGCTCTCGTATAGTTCTTAACATTGCCCCAAGAAAGAAGTATCGACATACTAGACTAGAGTCCAAGAAAACGAACAACTTGGAAGATAGAGAAAGAGAACATACTGTAAGTTTAGAGAGGGTCTCGACCCCCTTCAGACTAGTCAGTCCATTGCCTGCAACTGACAACCATTTCAAATTGGTGCACATGGATATACTCTGCACCGCCCCAAGCGATGTGCACATCAGGTTAGACTTCGGTAAAACCGCGATTAGCTACAGCTGTTTTAACGACACAATGAGCGCAATGGAGTTGTGGAAAAAACAGAAAAGGCAAACATCACTCACCTCAAGATTGGTGATGCTGTTTCCCGAGATATCCAACCGCGATAACTTCTCGCAAGCATCAATACCTGATATCTGATACGATAAGGATCCAGTAAGCTTCTTGTCGCAGAATGATACCGAAAAAGACACTAGGAAAACTAACTTCCGTAACCACCAAGACCTTCCGCAATGAGACTCCACTCCCAAATCAATTACCTCATGAAAATAGCGATTCGGAACAGTAAGCGTCTCGATGGTGGCTAAGTCGCGACCGTCATTGAGGGCAGAAATTAACGCAGCTGTGAGGCGCACCATCATGACAATGGTAGACGCAATGAAGAAAGTCCACCCTAAAACCTAAAAATCAAAACCCAAAACCCTAAGCTCTAAACCCACACCATCGAACCAACTTCTTAGCCAGCTTCAAGTCGGTAGTTAACTCTGTAACGTCTATAAAGTGGCCACGTCCAGCGATCCCAGCATTCTGCAACAACAAATCTCCCAAAGACGTGCTGCTTCAATGTACTAACCTACAGTTACACGTTACACGCCGTCGCCTCTTCCAACAAAGATGGATAACAGTCCAAAATTAATCGCCGAACCATCGCCGAACGATCAAGCACCAAAATCACGAACTGTATAAAAACTCCTGGTGAATGCCTTCAGTGATAAAACAAAAATCAAACATCGAGACGCAGCTTTCACATGTGTGTCACACTTGATTGAATATGAATGCCTTCACTGGGCAATCCTTGCAAGTCCACAGTGAAACCAAGAGATACGGAACACAGATGATACACCTCAGAAATCCGTGAGAAGGAACGAGTGGGAGGTCAAGCTGAGGGATGAAAATCGTTTAAAGGGCACAAGCTGCGAAAAGCTGCGGGACCCTAAACCCTCTCATGAAACTGAGCTGGGCAGCGGGCAGCCCTCGACGGTGCCGGAGCGATTTCCGACTGGTGCATTGTCGGGGACACAAGACAGCGGCATTGCATTTGTCTCTGGTACGTGGGTGTTAACTAGGTCAAGAAGATGATGCAGCGCTACAGATTGTTGGCGCGGGCTGTACAACGAGGTGCGCGAGAGTATGGGCTACCTCCCTCGTCGTCTCCGCAGATTGCACCAGGATTTTTGCGATCTCCATCCAATTTGCAATTATGGCGGGCGCTTTGGAGTCTTGTGAGGGACGGTATGTCAGAATCGAGGAATTGTTTTGCTATCTGCAGCGACGCTTTGAGGGGCGGAGGCTTGAGGCAGCAAGTTCGACACGCGAAAGTGAACGGCTCAGAGGTACAATCATGTTATCTTATTTTATTTTATTTGTATGTTTTTGAACGCGAAGATGAAGAGGCTCCTTGAATGTGTTCTTGTTACTCCTTGTTGAGGATTTCATGAAGGTACCCAAACGAATCCTCACCAAATCAATGCATTTGGGTCTACATTGTTGTTCTTGTGTTAGCTTGCACCTTCAAATGCCACTCTTCTTCCTTCATATTTGTCATTGAACATTTTGAAAGACCTAGGTAGTAGTTATGCGTTGAGGCCTTAGAAATTGAAATTCAGTGAGCCAAGCATATATATTCAATTCCCTGAAAGTCATTTATATATCCCGCTGTGACAAAACTGTGGTATGCACTCAGGTCAAGCAAGGGAATGTCATTGAGCGCAAAGGTGAGCAGGTTTTCGTTTCCAATCTGGTGATTGATCTCCTGAACGCCCAGCATGGTTTCCTATGAAGTGATCTGACTTCCTTGATAGTTTTGAGTCCAGAGCTAGGGGTTTAAGAAATTCTGGGCTTAAAAGTGTACGTGCTTGTGAGGATTTATTCGGTTACCTAAGGTTTTTGATAAATAAGTCCTACGTAACTCTGATATCCTCTAAGCGCACCTAAATATTTACTTCTTAGTATAGTCCTCCCATATTTGTCACACATTCGCATGTCCCCACTGAATGAAGCATGCCATGCTGTTCTTTGCAAATCATGTGATGCATTGGAATTGCTCCTTGTGTTTGCTCCATATGCACGTGATTATTTGGTTCTCGTCGTTTCTGGGCTTGTTGAGCAAGGCTGATGGACATATCCTTATGGTGTTTTACTATCTTGGCAGGACGCATTTATCAGGTATGACTCTCCTCACTGAAATTTGAAGTCGTTTAGCCAGTTTGAGCACAGCCTATAATCTTCTGTTTAGATTTCCTGACCCCATGGTTCCAAGATCAGTATGCAATGTATTTCTTCTTCTGTGTCTCCCGCATTAATAGATTTAAGGTATTTTGAAGGCGACTGGTAAAAGGTGTGACTTGTATATAGGTACTGAAAACTCAACATACCCAACAAGGTCGAGGTGGAGCAACTATCCAGGTGAAACGTGCTCTAAGGTTTTGGGTCCTGTTCTTTTGCTGACATCATATCTGGTTTAGGGGGACGTGTAATTGATACTCGCAGTTGTTTTCCATTAATAAAGCCATAGCGTGTACTTTGTCGGCCCTCGTCACTTACTGTTTTCAAACAGGTGGAGCTTCGGGACGTGCAAAGTGGGCTGAAATTAACTGAAAGATTCCGAACATCAGAATCTATTGAAAGTACGTGAATGTTCTAATCTCTTTAAAATCAAATAGTCATCAAATGTTTCTTCCAATGATTAGGGTTAGACATTGACGATGAAAAAAGAATACTTTGGAACCACATTGTGTGTTAAATTTGGTTGGTTTGTCGAGATTACTTCGGTGGTTTACTGAGTGTTTTATTTAGTTGCTTCCATTGTTTAACAATGTCAGGCTATTACATCATTAGAGTTGGTGAAATGTGCTCTTAGTTTGCCGTACTAAGGTCAATAAAGACGTTTCAAGCTTAGTTTCACATTGCTGGTTTTTTACTGAATTATTCAATCTTCTTTTATTGTGGTGCAGGAGTGTTCGTGGACGAGAAAGCCTACACTTTCTTGTACATGGAAGGTTCTAGTGTTGTTTTGATGGAGTGAGTCTACCATTTCTCATCTGAAAGAAATTGCATTTTCCTGAACAAAGAAATGGACGCTCAATTTTTTGAATAGAGATATTTCTGTCCAGTCAATTTTACGTATTTACATTATTTTTGTGCTTTGTAACCATGCTTAGTAGGAGTCGATACATTGCTATTTACCCATCTGATTGCAACTTGTTGCAATTTGCAGCCCAAAAACTTTTGATCAATTAGAACTCTCGAAGGACATGCTAGGTAGTGGAGCTGCCTACCTATCTGGTACGTATTGGTCGCTTTTGATAACAATTTCGTTTTCGTAAGTTCTCTATTTTGAATGATTGCAGTTAAAGCTTCGGTTGCAGAAGTAGCCTGCTGCGCTGAAATAGGTTTGAGATCTAAGGAGATCGTTTTGTGGTATTCCTACTCAATTGCTGGGATTGATATAGATGAGTCTGGAAAGTGTTAGCTATGTGGTTATCAATTAGAAGTTTCTGGACAGATAGCTTCGGATGTTTCTTGTTTTCACCATCACATTGCAATTTTGTCTGAGCATAATGTATTCCTTGCGGAGCAGATGGAATGGAGGTGATGGTTCAGCAATACAACGGCCAGCCTTTTTCCGCGACTGTTCCACCGAAGGTCACTTGCACTGTTGCAGAAGCAGAGCCATACTTCAAAGGCCAATCCGCAACACCTACGTGAGCAAATTTAGGCCTACCTGTTTTTTAAGCATTCTTTGACCATGAAAATGCAACCAAATTTTTTACGGCTTCTCTAACAGAATAATTATCTTATTTTATTATCAAGAATTTACTGAGCCTAAAATTTGAAACATATACACAGAAGGGTTATGCAGTCTTGTTTTGCCTCTTCGGGTTGAGGTTTTGACATGTCTTAATAATCTTACTACAATTGTTACAGGTACAAGCGCATTATATTGGAGAATGGTCAGACGATTCTGGTAAGCCATTACTACCCGTACTCACTTTCCTTCTTTTTAGTGGTATTCTGAGTGCTATTAAGTGATTGGATATTCTGAGTGCTATTAAAGGAGCTTTATATAAGATGTACAGTACGATGTAATTAATCCATGTCAATTGCATATCGCTAGACATCAAGTGGCCTAGTTTAATGCATCTCAGGTTGCAGTCATCGTGCCCATTCATTTAGGCGGATTATATCTCTCTCAAAAACTACAGTTTTTGTTCAAGTGGAGTAGAATATATGGCGGTAGTGCTCAAAGAACTTCTTTGTTTATGGCGTGTTTACGTAATTTGCAGGCACCGTCATTTATTACTGCAGGAGATCAAGTAGTTATTGATACAGCGGAGAATACCTACATAACTAGGTGCGTGTTCAGGCCATCCATTCTGCGCTAAATTATTTTGTGGTTGAAGATCTTGACTCTTCCTTGGTTTTGTACTCTCTTAGCCTTAGCCGGCAACTTCTGATGTCATGGTGAAGAATAAGATTCATTTTATCACGAGTCTAGTCTGTGTCTTGTATACATTGAATGCACGGAAATACTATCCAATTCCTGAGATCTTTTATGTGATTGAATTTTTCTTTGGAATCCTGTATATATAATTTTTTGCTTCAAACTAGTAAAAGAACATTTCATTTCTAATTCCTTATTAATTCATTTCAAATTCTGAGTCCGATAATGCACTATGTGACCCTAATGTAACCATGCTTGCTTTTATACCTTCAATTGTCTAATCCCAAAACAAAACGTCAAGATCATAACATATTCTTTTGTGTAAAACAGAAGCAAGGAAAAATAGAGAAGTGCAAAACAGCGAAGAGTAGCACATGATCTAACAAGAGTGTTGCACCGGAAACGGTAGAAATAGGTCCATTACGTGTTTCAGGTATTTGACCCCTGAGAACCTTTTCGAGTACGCTGACAATTCATCGTCCTTGCTGGGAACTAGAGAAATCAAACCTTGGTGAATACTATACACCTAAGTGAGTCGATCCTTTTCCATTGCATCAATGATTGGAGCACAGGGGTTTGGTAGCTGTTACTTATACGAGGTGTCTAAAACGTTGTCTTCTTACATATGTGTAGCGTCTCGTTGAAAGCTAGGCGTTCATGCATAGGATACGTCGAGGCCATTTTAGACTTGATAGCCTGGATCCTTACTAGCACGGTCATTAAATTTTCATAGTCAGCAGGTCGATGGTTTATTTTAGGTTGTGCTTTCGAATTTCGCTTCTACGATTTTCCTCCACCTCCATAAAAGAAAAATGAAAATAAAACCGGCCACCCTTCTCGGAGAAGTAGCTTTGGGTGCTTCGAGTTTTACGTCAAGCCTCGTATGTTAGGCTGGTTTAATAATTTATACAATGCCTCCGGTTATTGCCTGGTCAACCATCTTTTGGTAATGTTTGAGCATTTTGGAGACTTGACACAACTGAACCAAAATACCTGGAAATGCCATCTCAGGGGTTCAAATATTGGATAAGTAAAGAACAGCATTGGTAATCCTGATGTGGATTTAATGGAGTAATTGTTTTGTATCTTCACCCTGTTAAGGATGGGGTCTCTGTTGAAGGGAAGTTCCATTACAAAAAATGTGTATTTGAATATCTTCTGTATGAAGTTTGTGTCTAAACAGAGGTTTCTGGGTGTGCTTTTAAAGTAGCACTGATGTGGTAAAGAACCACAAACGTGTTTTGAAATTTCGTTTAATGGGTTTTGATATTCCTACAAAATGTAACCAAATCATTGTTTGTACACAAATTTGGGGAAGTTGGAATAAAAATTCAATTCCATTAAATGTTAAAGTTGGGAAATCAATGCATTTTGTTAATCTAAATGTTACGACTGATTGTTAACTGAACTAAATTTTGATGTACCAATAAATTTGGGCCATATTCTATTTCGGAGTGTAAAAGAAAATTATTAATAATCAAAAATTCTCTCACTAAAATGGCTTAAATATCTGAAACTAATTTGCAAATTTAAGGTTATTTTCTTTTTTTTCTTTTTATTTTTTTCTTTTCTTAACATCCTTAATTCATGAATTGAATTTAACTCTTTACACATTTCTCAGACAGATGCAAATTAGAACAGACTGTTTTAAAACCACATGAAAAATAATACACTTTTAAGATGGGAGAAATTGTACTCAAATCATGTTTCATTCAGTTTTTGCTGTTACACAAGTGACAAATTTCAAAATCACTTGTTTAAAGCAGTTTGGGTCTTAGTCAAGGAGTTCAACCAAGAGACACAGGGTGGTGCTACAAGCCTCCCGGAGCAACATCGTGCAGAGGTGCGGTGCCGAGGGGAATTCTGGACGTAGGACAGTAAGTGTAATACTTTTTTACCATAATAATACTACTAAAAATGCTGATTTTAAATTTAAAACAAATTCTTTTGTACATTTATAAGAAATTGTTCGTTAAGGTGGAAGATTTTATTTATTTTGGAGTTTCAGTTACAATTTTAATTTGGTTCAATTGGTGACTCTACTCACTTTTACTAGCTCCAAATGCGAAGACTTCGAAACAGTGCATTCAGGAAGAGGTCACTGGTGTTTAACTTTTGTACAGTTACCGTTTAAAATGGGCTTCTAAGTATAATAATCCACTTATAAATGATGCTCAAGATATGCTTGTCTCTAACATAAAAACATGAAGTCAGGTTTGAAATTCATTAGAACAACACATTAACCTCTTGTACCCATAACACACATCTGTACTGAGAGGAAGTGACAAATGTTAGTGGAAATGACCTACACCTCATGGACGGATGGGTAAACACACAAATTGTTTGGTACTTGATGATCACACCTCAGAAAAGTCTACAAATGACATTGATAGAATCTTTGCACTAAGTCAATATGACACTCGGAAGCTTTGAAGCCAACACTAATGCATGTCCAAAGAAAATATTCATACGTCACGAGGGTCGATAATCAGAAACAAGCTCTGTAAATTCTGGAAACACAATCATGGATCCGAGGTCACATGCTGTGTCACTATTGCACCCATTCGGGAGTACCAGAACATCGACACAGAAATTCAGAGCAAGTCGAGACTTGCCTTCAACACTCTATAACAGTTATAAGTAAAAAATTAGAAAATATTTACATTAATTTTAAAGGAGTAGCTCCAGTGAATAGGACACATAGGCTCTCGGGAGTTTGTACATGACACACCAAACCAAAAAAAGCTAGTAAACCGATCTAGTATTTGTAGACTCTGGGAACAGGCATGCTGCAACCAGAGGATAAAGAAGACGGAAATAGGGGACCAGTGTAGAGACTTTAAGACAAGTAAAACTAAAACATGCTAAAACCACCAAGCTGAAGCCACCATCCACCCACTGCAAAGTATTCACACCTTTAACCTAAGCCATTGGCTGGATAAGCAGAACATTTTCTACTCATTGTCTGCATCACTGTCCACTTCGTGGGCATCCAAATAGAAGCTGGCTCCATCCCCATCGATCATCTTAGCCCTGGATGACCACCACTTCATTGTTAAACAAAAGCAACAACTGAGTCTACTAAATCTTTGCGGAAATAAGATGTGCAACATGCCACTGCGGATGTAAAGCGAAAGACGTCATGATATACAAATATGCGATGTACAAAATAAGACCTCCAGAAACATATAATAAGGTTAGAAGTTATACCGTTCCAGAATGAATTTGCCCTCTTTATATTTCTGACTTTTTTCGAAGGCTGATTCCTGCTCATATCAAATATCCACATACATGAACTAAAACAGAACTGCCAAGCGCGCTCTCGGTTCTATAGAAATAAATAATTAAACTCATTTTATACCAATTTAACCAACATTTGTTTAACCGTGGAAATCCTAGTAGGAGCAGATTGAGGTACAACAGAATCAATAAGATTTTGGAGTATGTGGTAACAGGTGTTCAAATATTGATTACATAGTTACTTACATATTTCCAGCCCACGACCTGCTGACAACAATTGCAGCAGATGTCTGCCACAGTGTGTTTGCCTGTGGTCATCAGGCGATCTTCTTGTGGCCCGAGTGAAACATTCACCCTGTACATCATGACACACCATCAGGCTTTAGAAAATTTCACAATGAGCCAGCAATCAAAGTGTGACCAAACAAAGGAAGTCAAAAAAATAAATCTTGAAACGATTCCTTCATCAATGAGGAATCAAAGTTATCCAATCAAAACTGCAGCGTGTCAACATGTTTGCCCCGACCAAACCGCTTGCTCAACACATTAATCATCGCTCCCCTCTACAGTTCCTCTATTGTCCAAGTGGGATTCAGTAAGCATTTCAAATGGTATCCGAACTAGAAGGCAATCGTATTCAGGAGACGGAAGCTCAGTTGTTCAATGCAACAACCTCACCAAAGTCGATTTTCAGTCAGGGTGAGACAATTACACTGTATTGAAGAGGTAGGCCTTCCCATGTCGACAGTGGAATGACTACACAGGATAAGAAACAAGGGGGTTTTTAATTAGCTGAATCGCCTAAATACTCATTTGTTAATCACGTCGAAACCAAACGCGTATCTTTCGGTTGCGTGCCATACCACAAAGACAAACAAACTATGATTGGCTGCACTTAGGTTGCGATGCTTGAAATTTACCATTACCTTCGAGACCAGCTCGTCGCATTGGGCCAAGTGACTGCGGCAATACCGGCAACTATAGACGCGGCCGTCGAGCTGAATCAAGTATAGCCTACCCATACTCAAATCCTCTGGTTTTGATTTCTACAATTATAGAACAAATGAACTTAACCTCGTCGTGTTATATTCCGTGAGGAATTCATCCAGTCGCACTTTAATCACCTTGCCATCCCTAATTCATGCATTCACCTGCATTCACGAAGACCAGTTTAAAAGTACTTCCAAACATACTTCCACAACAAATACAGGCACTACTTGTCAAGTACATCCCCACGAAGAGGTGGAAATAGAATCCTTTGACATCTGGAATACGTTACGGATAGTTGATGATACGTCACAGTCAATTTAAGTACAAGAAGCCACAGCAGAAATCACCACATAGTCAAATATGGATTCTAAAACACTATTGAAATTTCTCGCCCTTAGTGAACCAAATCCCCGGCCCTGGTCTTAAACCATGTTAATTTCGCCAGAATACACAATTTCCAACCCTATAAGCTTATTCTACCAGATCATTCATGATCTACGAGAGTCTTCAATTTCAACCATTTTCAAACCATCCGTTCCTTCACAAAACTGTTTGAAATTCGGGAATAACTCAACATAGACAATGATAATAATGTGACGAGGTTTGGTTCTAAACATCACTGAAGTTGAACTCAGCAAACGAGAACACCTTACAACCAGCAAAGAAAATTAAATTTTCTAACCATCGAGAATGACAAACTTGACACCACCGGCATTGCAAAAGATGCAGCCAAGGACTAATGATGGCACTACAACAGAGAAGACCGTAAAAAGCACATTCCAGTAGAATAAACCCTCGGGATCAACCAACCCAAGGACGGGGCCTTAACCCAGCACATCCTCAAACAACCCACCGAATTGACAATAGCCTCAGCCATACCGCACAAAAGAAACAACACAGAAAAATCCCCCTCGCCATTTATCGCAATCCATCTCACAGAGAAAACAGCAACTCCTCAAAAATGCATGCAACTAAACTACAAATCCGACCAACAAAAGCACACAAGGACACGCACAACAACACAAATTAGAAAAAAGATTTTTTTTCAAAAACACTAAAAACAAATTGGCAATTCGATCCGGAGGCCAAGTTATACACCCCAACACAGTCCCAAACTCAACCTTCTCACCCGGAAGCGCCAAATTCAAGTCCGAAAACGCAATACAGCCACACTTAACCTTCATATAACCACCAGAAACCAACGCACCAAACAGAAAACCACCCCAACAAAGGCGAGAAAAAACAGTGACATCATCGCGCCAACCTGACCACAGCAGGTAGGAAAGAAGGCTCCGAAGCAACCCTGCTCGCAATTGCGTCAAATTCCGAAGCCCCCCAACTGCAACGAAATCGAAAGCCTGTGAAGCCCAATCTTCCTCCGATGCCGAATCCTCTTCTACTCCTCCCTCTCTCTCTGACTTGCCCCGCCCCCCGCTGGCTATAGCATGCGGCTCTTCTATCATCCATCCAGAGGAGGTTTGTTCATATTATGGATGGATGTCTTGAGGATGAGCATGAGGGCAGCGGATTAAGGAGGGGCGAAACGTGGGTGGGGGTAGCCGTGGGGAAACGTGACCGTGTCTATTTCCGTGTCGTATCCCAGGGGGTCGAGGATAGACTTCGCCCGCACCCGCGCCCGGTCCGGCCCGGCCCGGGCGGGTTTTGTGGTTTGGGTTTCTGGATGAATTGAACAGGAATGTGGAAAAGTTCTTCATAAGAATAAAAGTTGAAGTAAAATTTTATAAGGGGGTAGAAGTAAAAAGAAGAAGAAGGTTGTGTTTGATAACCGAGCTATTTTTACTCTCATCCTTTTTCTAGCCCTTGCCCCTCATTGTAGCATTATTTTATGTTTTTTTTTTTTTTGTTTGATTTTATTTTTTTTCTAACTATGTGGGTTTAAATAATATTTTTACTTCATAATGTAGAATAATATTAATATATTTAAATAATATTATTATTACTATTAATAATTGAAACAAAAGATTTCAAATTTCTATAAAAAAACCATCTTTTTAGTGGGACTTATTGCAAATTCTATAAATAAAACATTATTTATACTCTCACAATAAAATAAACTCTTTTATCTTTTTTTCTCACAATCTTTTCTTAACTTCATCAAACTCCTTGATTAGCTTCCTCAAATATAAATCTAACCAAGTAATATTTTTTTAATTTCAACTAATCACAAGTTTTAATAATTGTGACCTCTTTCCTACTCCCCTAAGTGTAAAGACCTCATAAATTACATATATTTTGACCTTTAAAAGACATGATTGTATGAAAAAATTATATTAGTATTAATAATATACCAACAAGCAATTTTTGATTAAAATGTTTTGGAATAAATCATCTCAATACATTAACAATGGACTAATTGACACAGACATACACAGATACTCTAATAAATACCTACATGATTAGGTAGAAGTAAATAAAAGTAGATAAAAGTAGATTAATTTCATAAGACCTTCTAAAATAGATTCCTAAAAGCTTCATAGATGTTTCTTTGACTTTATAGATATATATATATATATATATATATATTTGTAGTTGATTTGTAGGTTAGAAACTTGGTCAACAAGTTAACCATGTATTGGTAGCTTGTGGAAGAAGTTTATTAAACGGCACACACATAAAAAAACTTGCCTTGTAAGTTTAGATATGTGTCTTGCAAAGTCAATACATTTTTGAGGTCTTATAGGACATTGCTACATAGCTGTTAGTTAAGAGTATATATGGAGGCAAGAGTGAAGCCTTCTTTACTCTTATCAATACTTTTCTAGTCCTTAGTCATGTTCCAAAACTTTCTAGTTTTTAAATTTTTGGCAATAGCCATTCTAATTCAATATTATTTCATTTTTGAATAACTTTCTAGTTCTTTTTAATGACTCAAAAATGTATTGAGGATTTCCTTTTTTTGAGATTGATGTCCTTGACACTAATTTTGCATCACATATCTGCAAAATAACATCCAATAATAGATTCAACTAAGTAGATTTTTTGTTCTAAGATCCTAAACTAAATTGCACAAAAAAGTTCTAACTCAACTCATCTCTTAAGTATGTAATTAAATTGCATGCCATTTTGGTATTAGTCAAAATGCAATATAAAAATTGTAGAGATAGTGTTGGTGATGAAAGTACACTCCACTTTTAAAGTAGATATAGGATAGCAGAAATATAGGATAGCAGAAATATAGGATAGCAGAAATAAGCATTCCAGAACTAGAACAGAGTTCAAAAAGTGTACTAAGGTTGCACTATTAGAAGGTTGTACAATTTTAGGCAAAAATCTAATGAAGAATTTCCTGTCATATGAAGACGTTACTCTTACAACTAAAAGTTGGCATAACCCCTCTGATGAACATCATGATCAAAAGCATCCTAAAATCCAAGTTTGATGTTTCAGACGAAGATGTGTCTGGATGTTGGAACAAATACGGTATCTTCTCAAGAGCTGAAAGGAACGGATCTACAATGACGTCCTAAATGGGTGGCGGAGCCATCAAATGTTCTTCCTTGGTATCCTGTCACAACCATTGAACACAGCAAAAATGTCTTGACAGTGGCAATACATGCACTAGAAATCACAAAACTAACTGCAAAAGTGTCAGGAATTTATTCGTGGTGTGAAACAAAGTCATGACGCAGGAGTTGCAGCGAAATCTTACGACGAAAACTTAAGATTCTTAGTTAATTTCATTGTCAGCATGTTTGCTAAGCACAAAGTTGCCTCCAACCTCCCTTGAAATGACCTACAGACTGCCCATATCATGAGAACATGGCTTATCCTTAAGGTTATGATTCGCAAGTTCTGCACGTTGCTTGGGTACAAGGTGTTGAAGTTGTTTGCAACAACACACTTCCACATCACAAAAGATCCGATTCTGATCCGATTGTCTCCAGCAAAGCCCAAGAACTATACTAATCATCACCATTCGGCATGCGCTTACTTGAGGCTGAAGCTGGAGCTGATGGAAGACCTAAATCTCCTAGAACTGGAGATTTGTCCATGAAATGCACGTAACACCAATGTCAGGCATCCTCGACAAGTCCATGACCTGAAATACCACCTCAGTAAATCTGCACAGTTTGTGAAAAATCAACAAACCTTCTGATGGAGTTCAAGGAAGCGCTACATCACAAACAAGAATTGTAAATTATTGTACGGGTACTGGGGGCGATAAAATTTACGTATTTCGTAGTAAAATTGTGGTGAAAGTATATAATGTAGCACTGATACATGTAAACCAAAACACCAAACTCCATGAGCACTATCCATTTAGTTTGTTGTTACCTACAAATTTTAACAAGTTGGAAATGGTTCGTATTGCACTCTATCGAAATAAACAAAGTCTGGTCTTGGATGGAACTGTAGGCTCATAAGAACCAAAGCCTAAACTAATCTGAGGAGCATAATTATAAAGGAATCACATGAAAACGTCTAATCCACCCCCTTGGAATTAATAGAACATGAAGAAAACGCCTACAACCCACATGAGAAATTTCTTGTGGTTAACATCTACAACCTGCATTAAGAATGTTGCATACAATCAGATTCACTCTCCATCTGGCTCCGCTGGCGTCTGCGAGGATTGGCCGAAGATTCGGGCAGAATGTGGGAAGCGGGAGCCATCGCCAAAATCCGGGTCTGCTGCCACGCGTGCAGCCAGGTCATTGAACAGCACAACCAAGTAGGCCTGCCATCAGCAGGACGCACCCATCCATTAGGGTATACCAGCCTATAACCGGACGAGAGACTAATACTGACAGGATCTATGCTGCTTTACTACAGTAAGTTCAAGTTGCGAGTACATAGTCTTAGCATTTTGATAACAGGGCACCAGAATTTTCCATCTCAAGAATTCTTCAAAACGTCTGAATAATGGTCATGTGATCAAGTCATATAAGTATTATATCTCATCCCATTCTCTATGCATATCAATGATAAAAGGCTTCAAACTACTGTCCGGATATAGGCCAATATACCCACAATTGTTCACACAAAACAGAAGAAACGAGTGCACCATAAAACAAGTACGTCTTACGAAAACCAAGCAACAAGCTCCAATATTCCTCTAAGCATGTGCGTCATAAGACTACGCAGGTTTCAGCAAACCCTGTGATAGCCAAATTCATACTGAAAAAAATGGTGTGTTCGCTTAAGACAAAGACAGCAAAACGAAGCATCTAGGCATGCTGGTGCTAAGATAAGCAGTTCATGCGACATTTTATTTCACTACTTCGTTACAAAATCAAAACCGTTCTATACCATACAGTCTACAAATTTAGGTCTCATGGTAAATCCGAGAAAACAGGAAAGTGGGGAAACATTCTCTTCCTCGATTAATAAAATATTCCTCGTATGGTAAGAATAAATCGTGCTTTTAATGGAAGAGCGATTGCCAACAAGGTTGTTTACGTTATTGACTGTTCACGTCCTACACCTTAAAACCCAAACAAAAATCGACAGAAAAACGATTGACAAGCATTCGCGTTCACGTTCAATAGAAAAAGAAATAAAATAGCTGCAGGTTGTATCACTCCACCTAGCTTTACGATGCAGGTTAAGAGTGCAGAGTGCAGCATGCAGACCGTACTGTCGTTTCATCGACATCATTAACAACTCGCAGACATTATTCAAACATACATACTCAAAGCTATCTCACCATTTAACCTCAAGGACAGACTATCCAATTAAGGGAAATGAAGCATTCGTTCTTCATCACGTCACACAATCAATTTTCAGAACTTTGCTGCTAGAGTATGGGGCAAAGCATGATGCAACACTCTAGCTGCTCGTTCATGTACCAGAATGTGAACGTGCAAACCAATCGCATTTTAACCGTAAGCCGAATGATTTGACTACGGTTCCTCGTCCAAGATGAAGATTTGACGTACCTCAGCAAGCCCGTCAACTCTTACTACTTGTTGAGCTAGATCATCTGCACCGACAGTTCCATTATTGCCTGAAATCTCTGCACTTGCAGCACCAGCCAGATCTCGAAGAAGAATTTCTGCCGATCCTCCATCCTCAAGATTTTCTGCTGCTGACTCCACTGCAGTCTGCATAACATCTCTCCAAAACATGTTACTAAATCATATAACCACTGTGTTTCACAATAATCAGTGACAAGATTGCGATAAATTTCAAGACGGCGGTTTTGACCGCTGAATATTAAGTAAAATTTCAAGCTAGCCACCTATATCATATAGATCTCAATTTCGGACACCGATTTCAACCTCTGCTGAAACGAAATATCATACGCAGTAAATGAACATAGCACATAATAGATAAGACATGAATCAGCTGAGCATCTCTAAATCTTGGTTAATTGAGAAAAGTCGGCTTCAGATAAGTCACAAACTTTTTGCCGTTTTGCAGCAGGCGTCCCACGACGGTAAACATCACTAAATGGACGCTGAGGAGGCATTGACTGTTGAGCCTCTTCATCAGCTGCAATTGTCTCAGTCCAATCAGCTACTTCCTCCTGCGATTACGTAACGAAAAAAGTGTTAAATACTTGGCTGTATTATGATAAAAAGACTTAGGCGGTTAACTTCCCACTAATTTCCACCCTTGGCTAGGTAGACAACCACGACTCACTATTCACTTATTGTGATTGCAGTGATCGGGTTTTACTCGGCAGTGGATTGAGCAAGGAAAACCGGGGACCTCGGTCGTGCAATGCTTATTACTACTGTAAAGTCACAGCTATGTTAAAGATAGTGAAGACACAAATTAACACTCATTGATGAGCATTATCGATTACCTGTGATAGAGCATCTTGCCATCTTTCAGTCTCAGATGGCTGAGAAGTGGTCCCCCTAGCTCCACCATCACTTGTTCTAGTACTAGTGCCTGCTACAGACCCAGGAAAAGATGCTGAAGATCCTCCGCCCAGCATTTGGGTAACTACAGGCATCATGTGTTGCAACATCCCTGACAAATCTAGGCCACCAGTTGCAGGTCCACGGTGTGCTCCATCCCCTCCATCACCATCACCAACCCCCTGCATGACTTGTTGGACAAGATTCTCCACGACAGGGCTCCTCATAAGTTGTCCTATAATACCTGGGCCCCCTTGCAGCCGATCACCACCTCCTACTGCTCTCACCAGATTGCCAAGGGAAGGCAAAGCGATGTTATTTCTTTGGTTTATTTCATCTGCCAAATCTCTTTGTGCTAAAAGGTTCTGCAAAGCGTCCTGCCCTGCTTGTCGCTGTTCATCTTGACTGGACTGTTGTGCCTGCCGCCGCCTTCTAACCTGCATACATCATGTGCTACTTGTCAGTTAGATAGAAAAAACTAAACCTATGAAAAGGTTTGCGCACGGCAGCAAAACTGTGCATGATTGGACAAACAACTCAGTTACAATGAGATTGAATTTGGAATAGTAAAGTTGTTGAAATCATCACGATCATCTGCTTCATTCTATGCTGATCCTAAAGATCATGCTACGCAAAAGAATCTCAAATCTCTTCGTATGAACACATTTTCCCGCGTTCGACCTCTCAGAATTTGACTTTCCTCCTTTCAACTCACGTAGACGTGAAAACTAACATATAGTGCAATTCTCTATCAAATCATCTAAGCTTCAGAACGGATCAACACTAGCTCACAAAGAAAAGCACCAGAGATATAAGAAACCGAGCGAGGAACTTTGTCACAGTCACTATTAACATAACTTTTCTATCAGAGTTCACGCTGGCGCGCACTGATCTGAAATTGCAGCACATGGCTACAAAAAACCATCACCTCCACATCAAACAACCAGAAATATGTGTTCACTCACCCTTGCAAGAGGCTGAAGACCCCCAAGCCCAAGTCCAATCGGTGCAGAGGCGGGTACATCCGAAGATCCCCCGCCAGGGCCACCACTAACACTCGCTCTTAACGCCTGTCCTTGAGGAGCAGAATGATCACTCGACCCTGGTCTCTCATCATCGCCGCTCACCTGATCAGTCACCATGCTCGTCACTCCAGATTCAAGAGTTGGCTCAACAACCCTCCCATTTGACAACTCTCTCTCAGCCTGGGTATCTTCTGTGAGCCCAGCATCAGTATCTGTTTCTCTTTCGGTTGCATCTGGTCTTTGCTGCTGCTGAGTTTCGGAATTGGGCTGCTAAACAAATCACGTCAAATTACTTCAAGTTTTTTCTCATCTACCACGTCATGAGCACCAGCAATCATGTAATCTTTGAAACTGTAGTGCACTACCCCACTCATATCTAGTAGCTGTGTCACTAGTCCATCATGCTTACGAGGTGCCTTTACCTTTAGTATCGAGCTCAAGGCTTTGCAATTAGTAACAACCATCGAGCGAGTCACTTCATAAACCACATAAACATAAGTTTTTGCATCCTCAACAAGGGGTGTAAGGATTGAACCTGCTGAAGTGATGTTGAAGCCCCTGGCTGTTGTAGTGCACCAGCTAAATGTTGCAACAGAGGTCCCAAAGAATTCATAAGATCTACAGCATCACCTTCACTTCCTGTTAACAAGCGAAAGGATCCCATGAAGATCTCAAGAGCCCATCTAGCCTGATCTTAGGCTACGTTCGTAGCTTAGACACGGAATAAACTAGTCAAAGGGACCAACTTAGAAGTATGTTAACTCCCGTTAACTTACCTTCCAAAGCCAATGAATTGAGACGTAAAAGAAGCTGATTATGTTGTTAATGTTAGAACTAGGTCTGTTTGACTTAAATATGTACAAATCACACAAGAGTAAAGCCTTAGATAAATACTGAAGGGAACAACAGAACCTTGGCGAGGCATGTCCAGAAAAGAAATTGCAAATAAAGGCAATTATTACCTTAACAGACCATATCACAAAGCTATATCGCAAAACTACATGTAAGCAGACACTAGAATCAAAGAAAAGGAAGAGCATACCTGGTGTATTGCGACTTGCTTGATCCGTTTGCCTGGACTGATCAGTGGATGTTGGTGGTACAGGATTCGCTGCAGCTGGAACAGGTGTATCATTTGGAGAATTAGAAACTGGCCGGACAAAAAATTGTTGTTGAAACCTCGAAACCAATGGATCCACAGTATTGCCAGAAGGAGGATGAACACCCCCACGAAAGCGAACAGGAACCACTCGCACAGCTCCAGTCTCATCAACAGTCATAAGAGCGCCTTGCATTCCAGAGGGGCCAGGAGGCGCGCTACCTGGAGCTTGATTGGCCCCGTCAGCAGCTTCATTTCTGGGGCGGTTCGGACGAGCAGATCCGCCCACATCATTAGGTGCCGCACCGCTTTGAGGTGCAATCAAATGGTCTGCCCGCTCTAAAAATTGCCGCAGAGTAGAGCCAGCGCCACCAGCAGGTATGCGAACAAGTTCTTCATGTGAGAATTGTCTCGGAGCAGAGTTAAGGGAGGAAGAGGGAACAGCAATAAGAGCTCCAGGATCGCTTGTATGGATATGTACGTGAATACTTCTAGAGACCCCAGGTACACCAGGTGATGGACCTAACGTACCAGGAGGTGATGGAAGAGCTGTTCCAACGGCCAATCCACCTGCTGTCTGTGGTGGTAAAGCCTGCAAAAGATGAACTAGTCAGATAAAAAAACTTTGTCTATAAACTAAGCCAGTATCCCATTGTCCTTATCCTTTCGCTCGATCCTTGAAACAAATCATCACTTACATTAATGAAATATAAACACACCAAATTCGTCGATTGAACAATCCCTTCCAGGATCTTTTAGTCATCACTTTAAAATGCAGTACAATTTCTTTTCCCATTCTTCGAATCCATGACTTACAAAATTGTGACGATGTGTGCGAGACAGATCAAAGACTTGTCGAAAAGAAGCAAGATTTGAACCCTGCAAGTTATACATTATTTAAGAAAAAAACAAGAAAAAACAGCCAAAGGCATGATAGTCCAAATAAGATGCTTCTGTGTCCGTATAGACTTCATAATGGCCATTTCAGCCACGAAAAGAACACAACTCAAATGGTAATCTCAAGCGGTAGATGTACAAACCTGAACCATCATCGGATTGGGTCCTGTGGGGGAGATGAAAATAGCTGGCCCGGAATTGACTACAGACTCGCTCTGGAACACAAAAGCAGAAGAGCCTCAACATTGCATCCAACCTTGGAACAGTTACCGATTTGCGAATAGAGACAGATCATACACGACAGTCTAGAAGACGCCTGTTCATACTGACTAAGAACAGATAAGACTACTCGAGTAAAAATATGTGCCGTAAGAATGTGAAGAAAACTTACAGGAGATTGACCCATACGGAGGGACAACGTAGCCCGGCCCAGCTCTAAAAGGAGAGCCCCTATCTGCTGCATTAAATTACCATCATGATATGCTGTGTGTTGTACATCTTCTCGTGCGGCAGCGTCCAACATCGTTGGCTCGTTTTCCAATCGACTGGCAAGACGCTGGCAAGAATAGTTTCAAGCAACTGAGAATCCGTAATTTTTATCGTAAAACATTCTAGAAAATACAAACGTGAAGATGTTAGTACACAAAAATTAATCAAAAGTAGACTACAGATCTAAGCAAATTTTACTAATCTAAACCGAAGGACATACGTCAACAGCAATGATGCAAGGAAAGTAATGAGTAAATAAAATGACAAGACTTACAGAAAGCGCAGAGCTAGCCTGGTCACGCAATAAATTATCCACTCGATTCACAAGGGCTCCTAAGGCAGCAGGTGAAGCTCCTCGTTGAGGTTCCTCTCCACTACGACGAACATCGGTAGCAGCCCTCACTTCCGTGCCGCCATTGTCACTAACATTGGAAGTTCGCGCCGACTCTGCGGCATTGCAAAAGAGTTCCGAAATTCTATCTCAAATAACCCAAAAGTCACAAATTCACGCAGATTAAAGGGTTTTCGCAAATACAAGTATATATACGTCAAATATACTAAAGACAACTGCAGCTACCGACCTGCACGTACAATCAAATTTCTCAAAACCCCAAAAGAATGAGCACATGATTTTAAAGATTTTAGTATAAACAAGCCCGATAAATCTTATATCCGGCAGTGGAAATAAAGTGTTCTCAAAATGCCTATGGATCTGATTACGAATACTGTAAGGACTGTTCAGGAACTGCAAAAGGGATTACCTTCTGAAGCAAAAGACTGCTCCAAACGGTCCAAGTACTGGGACATGGTTGTCAAAGCGTCAGGGACAACCTGAAAATAATTTAGAAGTAACAACGTACAAGGAATTATTGACTGCACCCAATCCCAACATGACAAGGTTTAATTGTCCAGAACAATAGACTCATAATTCCTCAGACTTCAAAGTGACTAATAATTATACGAAAAGGAATGCCACACGCATCTACTCCAACTACATTCCGGTCAAGCGAAACATATTAAATGGGCATATAAATGAAAAATGACACAGTTACAAAATGGATAGCTTACCACAGGAGCCTGAACCACACGAATAGGAGTTAGACCAGCACCTCCAGTAGTATTAGAAGGGATTCCATACAATGCGTCAATCTGCAATTCTAGCTCACGGACACCCGTGTCCTGGTCACTCGCACCATTTCTGTCGGGTGCACCGGCATGAACTCCTGTTGGGGTTGGTAACACCCCCTGCGATAGCACGCAGAAAAAAGTAAAAGCTAACGATTAAAAAATCACCCGAACTATAACAATCTACTCATCTTCAAATGTGGCTACAAAAATTAAGTCTATATGTTATACCCTGTATGGGCAGAAAATCGACGGCTTACATTTATCGACTACAAACACGAGCTGTCATTCATAAATGACAGTTACTGTGTTTAGCACGGTGTGAAACTTTCCAACGTTAAATCAGAAAAGGACCCGCAAGAAGTATGTCATTGTTCATCACAATCTTGTTGTCTAGCAAAGGACCACAGGTCTAAGAGGGAAGGACTTGAAAATTATGTGTTGACATCCTGAAAGCCACATGAAAAAACTTACTGTGGAAGAGTTGTTTCCTGTGCTGCCTTGCGAAGGAACATTACCGTGTAATCCGATTGAACTGATGACTGCATTTAAAATCTGCATTTAAGATCCAAAACTGTAAGCTTATCACCTCTTTGAAACACGATAACATAAAAAATTATGAAAATATTAACGTCTTTGGTGCTTCCAAAGCGAGAATCCGATCAGAAGGAGTGAAAAAGTACGAATAATGCAGAGACAGCCTTCAAGATGAAATACAATGAATAAAAACACCAGTTCTTGGACAGGAGAAAGTAAACTTATACAACCCCATTAGATTAAGCCAGTTCGAATATAGAAAACAAGAGCCCACAGCGGAGTGCATTAAAAAAAATAGATTAGTTTTTTTTAATAATTTAATTAGTTTAAACAGTAAAAGTAAAAAATAAAAACCATCATTCTTACGACCTACCCGATTCAAGTCAGGTAATTGCCCTTCACCATTATCTGGAAAGTTGATAGTTCCCATTAGAAGACTGTGTGAAACGTGACCAGACCTGTTCCCTGATGATGGCAAACCTGTTTCTCCCTGACCACCTGTAAGAAGAGCATTACTTGCATCAGCTTCCATCAACATATGGGCAGGAAATGAGGCTCGCTTCGTACTCTATTTCCCTGACATCCAGTATGCTGCAGTCCTGAAGTAGCAAGAAACTCCTACAACAACGGCTACAATGAATAAAGAATGAATAGGGGCTAACCTTCATTGCTAGCACTGCTTTGTCCAACTCCAGAAGAAGGTGGAGGTTGCCTAGCCACCAGATGTAACGTATGTCCATCCTCAACATCTGCAAATTTGAATTAGGGAAAATACTGTTGTACTGTACAGAACACCCCAATGACAATCTAGATGACGCTCATCATCATCATATCAGGTAGGAATCAATAAAAATTTAACCTAATGCTTCTACATGACCGAACACTTGACTAAGTGCCACGATTGAACAATAGTTTAGTACGGAGGTTACTTTAATAATGCTCAGAGGATGGAAGCGGAGTTCAATTTCTGGCCTGTGGTGCCTCTAGTGATAAGCCCTAAAAAGTTAAAGAGAAATCAATTTCTTTTTGATCAAAGTGGAATCATTCGCCAGCATAGCTGGCTTCTAATTAAAAAAATTGAGATGCCCAATGTAAGAAAATAGCACTCTAATATCACCATTGTAATTATAATACTAAAAATTTGACGAAGCTGCTACACTTTTGACTAGTAAACAAGGATACTGTAGGCGGATAACAACTGGTCGTCTTTCAAGACCTTTCCTCGGCAAATCAACCGTTGATTCTCCACGGGCACTCCAGAAACAGTGGCCAGCTGTTCCTTCAATGCAGGGACTGCCACCTGCAGTTCAATGAGGATCAAAATTACATCTCAAGAAGAAAAATAATCAGACATACGGGAGCAGGAAGCGGATAAATAAAAACGTCTTCTTTCACTGCCATAACACAGAGAATACGGGTATACGTTCCGTAGCAAAGAAAGAAGTAAACCCAATAAAACTGAACACGAACTTTGAACTGAGAACTTATTGGAAACAGAAAGTAGCCTAGAACAGCTCTTTTAGAGGACTCACATTTTTGTCCACACGCAACGTATAACTTTGTGAATCCAAAGTTTTGATTCTAATCTCCACAGTTTCTCCTACGCCAGCCTCCGACTCGGGGACTGCTCCTGAACCACTGCTGCCTTCATGGTTCGCCTCCATGGCTCTTTAACGCAATCACCAACAGAGGAAAGGCAAGTCAAGTGAAACAGTTGATTGTGTGAGTAGACACCATAATAGGATGAAAAATCCAATTATGTAGACTAACCTGATTCATCAACCAAGTTTTGCGAAAGTAACTCCTGTGTCCAATGTATTGGACATTCCCTACGTAAGTAAACTGACTGAAATTAGGTAAAGCAGAAGCTATATTTTGAGAACTGAGGAGTTACATATCAGTGACGTGGACAATCCAAAGGTCACCAGTCGCAACGAAGAAAACTCCTAGAAAAACGCCTTGTAATACTCTAACACGACTTTACGTACGACTTTCCTCCTCGCAAATCATAAACATGGAGAAAAACTACCAAATTAAAGAGCAAAAGACTCAAAAATAAATTGCAGGTGAACTCAGTGGAATAGAGGAATCCAACACGGTTGCTGAAGTTTAATTATTAGATTCGTCATTTTTTCTAAGCTCAACCTTACTTTGTTGTTCTGAAGTAACGCATAAACCAATATAATCCAAACCAAGGTAACAAGAAGCATTACGGTTGCCTTTGATCTTCAACCCCGAGTCAGAAAATTCGGGATACGAGGAGTTAAAGCAATCGCCTGCCTCTCACAAGCAAATTGAAGCTGAAAATGCTGTAAAGCTGATTGAATAGGAATGATTCGGTACACTGCTCAATTTTTATTAAATTAACCCTGTGAGGAAGCCACCTGAGATGTTCTTGTGTCTTCACGATCAGCGGGCACCGTCGCCCTGAACAAAACTTCCAGCAAGAACCGACCCCTCTCAAATTCGTGGACACTTTCACCGGGCGAAATCTCAAACCCTAGGTTGACAAAAAAGAAACTAACTAGGCAACACAAATAAATCCAACGATTTGACGTTCGGCTGGTTCCCACTGACACGCCAATGACTTAACCTAAATTGAGCCCTACATAACTGGAAAGACAAGGAGTCTACAGGCTATGAAGATGGAGCCATTTCTTAAACCATCCGACGCCCGAGTGGGGAAAGAAACAATTCTGAACAATTCTGAAGTACATTATCCGTCTGTTCGCACACGGTGTAGTGCGTGCAAACCGAGACCTCCCAGAAGTAAAATCGCCCGAGGCTTAACTTAACCCACTACATGGAACGCCACGCCAGCAAGCCAATTCGCAATTACGAAGCGCAAACACTCAGCCCTAAATAAATACGACAATCTCTCACAGTCTAGATCACACAGCATGTGACTTGATCCGAATCACGTCGGTGCCAGACAAGTCCCAGAAAACAAAAAAAACAAAAAAACAAACCCAAACACAAACAAAACGACCAGGAGACATACCTCATACCTGCTTCCTACATGCAACGTGAGAGGCGATGGTGTAGAGCTGTTCGTTCAAAGCGGAATCCTCCTCCGACAGGGAAAGAAGTAAGAGGGATGGAGGGAAAGGGGAGGGAGCACCGCAGTATAAAAATCGGGTGTTCTAGAAGCAAGGAGGAGGACGAAGAAGAAGAAGAGGTGCCGAGGTGAGGACGAAACACGGAAGGAAGGAAAGCAGGAGGGTGTTGTTGCATCCCTGTCATCCAGTCTCCCTACTGTGAGACAGAACCCACAACGTCGAGGAGCACACCAACCAACGAACCAGCCAACGAACGTGAGCCTGGTTCTGCGGATCTGTGTGTTCTTCTCTCTAGTTCCGGCAGCTTCTGGAATATATATGTTGCACGCTTCGTCATAAATAGTATTGTTGACTTGGATCTAATGAAGGGAGCTTGTCATCAGTGCCAGCTATCCTCTTTCGATGTGGACTTCAGATTGACTTAGACGAATTCAGGGTTCGTGGCCTCAAAAATTTGTCATTCCAAACCTGTTGAGTTTTACATTCAAGGAGATTTGAAGCTATGAAGTTACTCCGCTAATGTACAAAATCAACATGTTGCAAATTGTGGATATGCAAAGCAGACGTCTCTGACAAGTTAAAAATCATTTTTATCTCATTTTCGTTACAAAAATCATCATTTTTACATTCTTCGACCGTGCCATTTTTTTTTTAATACATGTAGTTCACAACTATCATATTTAAAAAAAAAAAATTAAAAAATAATGTTTGTGAAAAAACTTTTTTTTTCCCTTCCCAACTTGAAGAAAAAGCCTGAATACGTCTACCGTATCGGAATAAAACAAGTAGATTTTAGCATCGTTGGTTTCTCAACAAAATGTTTTTCAGATTCACAAATTTCTCAACAACAGTCTCTTATGATCCACCCATTGGATGGTGCTTACTTTTGGTTCAATTATGACAAGCTCCGGGTTCAGTACATTTAATAGTCATTCTCACGACCCCCCCCCCCTCGTAGTTCAATCCTCTCCTGTACTTCAATTTGCTACTCCACTAACAGACGCCACAGGACGTCACAAGACGTAAATGGGAAAGATGAGCTCGTTTGAGGTTGTCCGGGATCAAGGCTATGAGACACTTAAGCACCAAGGGTAGCAATATAAAATGCACAGTATCTTCCGCAATAAATAATATCAAACTGATTGTTCCTTCTACAGGAACTGCTGTGGTTTCAAGCAAGATGCACACAATATCCTCCAATATCTCAAAACATTCGGAAAACCATACTAACGCATGCACAATCACAACAAAGCTGAGCAACACACGCAACTCCCAAACAACTACGAGGGGAAAGGACAAGAAAAAACGCCCAGGTCTACTTGGAAGGAAAGAAAAACCTTCCCACATTACATGTGATACACCTTACGTGCACCTGTTTGTGCACAGAGTTTAATTATTTGAGATCTGCACTTCAATAAATAAATCTCTTAATGGCGATAAGGAAATATACCTGCATTCTATTTACTATGAACACAATGACCTAAGCCGCAAATGATTTTCCGCAACCACAGGTTGATGATGCATTCGGATTACTAAAAGCGAAGCCTCCTCCAATTAGAGCGTCGCTGTAGTCCAACTGCATCCCATACAGGAACAACAGGCTCTTGGGATCGCATACTGAAAAACAGCAACACAGACGTCAGTATCCATGTGATTTCGTTTAAACAACACGTAAAAACACGCGATTCCAAAAACAGGAGAATGTACGCTACAGCACACATTTAATCCTAAAATGTTTCAAAGTTTGGATGAATATCTGCTCAAGAACAAGCAGTGGGACTTTATCTGAAAGAGGGAATAGCGGTGATCCAAGGAGCAACAAGGCATACCCATTTTAAAACTCTCGTAATCGATAATTGAATCATCTGATCGAACGTTAGAAGTCTCTTCAAAGTCCATCACGTACGACATCCCTGAGCAACCACCCTGTCGAACTCCCACACGTAGACACAATTCCTTGTCTTGACTGGCCCTTAATTTCTTCAGATGACTCAATGCTTTCTCGGTAAGCGTGATTGCAGGCGCAACACCAGACAGTGAGGCAGTCCCTGCGAGCAAATGATGATATGAGCAATCGTGTAACTGGTTAGCAAGGTGGAAGAAACTATCACTGCCATATGACCATGAAATGTGTGCACCAACCCACTAAGATTGAAAACACAAGAAAAAACCTGAATAAAAATTATTCCAAACTCATAAACAGATCAGATTGTATTTACAATGCCAACAAACTACACATTCCACTACAATACGTAACTCATTGATAATCCTACAAAACCCTAAATGTATGTATCATCGATGTTAAGGAACTGAAGGTCCACGGAGGCGTACATATTTACTCGTACACTTTCCCCAAACCATGTCACAACACAATCCTTATTAACTTTTCCAACACATTCTTTCCTAGTGGTTGGTGTGTCAACGCCAACTCCAAAACAATTGGTAGCTTGAAACTCCAACAAATCTATCGACTCTCCTCCATTTTCCAAACCAGTACGTGGGACACCAAGAAAAAAGACAATCCACACCTCAATTGTGATCAAACCCGGACAGGAAACCTGACCTAACCAGAACTGGCTCCCCACCAAATCCAACCATGCGAATCCAAACCCACGAAAGGCGTTCGACCTACAAATTGAACACACCCAGAAAATAAATAAATAAAATAAAATAAAATAAAAACTAACCAGGTTCCGCAGCTTGAACGAAGAATAGGTTGCGCTTCTTGCGCGAGGTCATCATAGCCACCGATGCAGAAGGAATGGCGAGGATCACCCTACAAGAGGCTGGTTGGGGCTGGGCCACCCTCGCAGCGGCAGCAGACGAAGCCCAGGTGGTCGTCAGCATGGTCGACGCAAGAGCTGCCATCGGGCAATAGAATCACGCAGCAATTGAGGGCTGCGCTGTTGTGCTCCGTAAGTCCGCGTGGATGATTCACACGACGAAGTTCTTCGGGTGAAACCTATCGACCAAATGGTGCTGCTATTACAACATGGGAAGAAGAAGACGAAGAAGAAGAAGATATGGGGTACCCCACCAACACTCCCCATTCGCTGAACCCCACCTTCCCAAATCCTTGGGTCCACGTCCACTTCCACTCTCGACGGGTCGCTATATATATATATATATTTTTCAATAAATCACGGGTTCATGGGAACCCGTCATCACTACATAGTTACAAGTGTTTGCTGATTTGTATGCATTCGTTAATTTGAGGACGAAACCTGAAATAGTAGGTCGAAGAACCCTGAGTTATTTGGTGCAATGAGTTTGAGTTACGCCATAGCAATGTGTTGAATGAATATGTATACATATATATTGTCGTGATGTAGCATCATCTATTTGGGGAGTAATGAATATGTAAAGAAAGAGGAATAGTAAGGTTTAGTTGTGATCTTACATTCAGGGTTTCGTTTCAATTTTTGATATTTGGCTTTGATTCGAATAAAAAAGGCTGGAATTTGATTAAAATGAGGTTACTTGCGTTGAAGGGGTTTAAGATACACAAAGTTCTGAGGTCGAAGCAAACCCCCCTATCGCCGTGGATGAACGAGAACAACAACAACAACAAGCATGGATGGATGAATGAGGCGAGTCCCTCATGTCGCACAGTGGCGATCCCGAGTTTCGTCTTCGTTGCCTGCGCTCCTCGCCGAATCGCGAGTTCGACCCTGTTGCGCATGAATCCGCGTTGGAGCCCCTCGATCTGTCGAAGGCTTGTAGGAATCTAGGCTTTACAGCAGCTGGGTTGCGTTGCATTGCGCCATTGTCGCAGAATTGGTGGTGGGTGGACGAAGATGAGCGCGACCAGAGCGTGAGGAAACAGGTAGAGGTGCTTTTGTATCATGGCGGATAAGCCCGCGCGGGCGCTCGTTTGCTACGGCGATGGCCTCATGCCTGCCGTGAAACCTCATCACGCGCATCTTCATCAGCTGGCTGTGTCGGGATCCTGTGGCTTTTTGGCCTTGCGATCCCTTCCGGATGACGAGTCTCGCCCTGTTTTGGAGCTGGCGCAGCTGCTTGATGTTTATGATGTGTACTCGGAGACGGCGTGTAAGGAGGATCTTGCCTCAGGGAATGGCAGTGCGGGCGCTGAGTTGAGACAGGATGATTTGTTGCCGAGTATGGCAGAGAGGTTTATGGGTACGAAGGCCACGTTTATTGCAAATTCCAAGTCTGCTGTGGCGTTGGGTCGGCGATGTGGATTTGCCACGGACTGTCTTGCAGAGGACGGCAGTAGCAGCTTGCCTGATGCTAGTGCTACGGCATCGAAAGCTCTAGGGTTGTTGGGATTTGATGAATCGAGCGACGCGAAGGAGATGAACGAGTTAGTGTTTTTGCATCTGGATGCGGATAATGGGACCTCTGCCGAATGCGGGATAGAATTTTTGGACTCCTTGGTTGGTTCTGTACAGGACGCATCGAAAGAAGGGACGAGCGCATATGGTCGTCTTTTTTTTGTGGTAGTATTAGGGTACGGGGATGCCAAGGCTAATCTAGGAGACGCTGTTCCAAGCATTAAATCCAAAGAGAAGTTATCAGTTGAGCTCGCATCTCTGCGGCCGCGCCAGAGCTATACCATGAAAACGGGAAAACCCGTGGAAGGAGTCAGGGAGGAGTATCCGTTATTGGCTGTGTACAACCAAGTGGCGGTGACTCGTCGTGATGAAGTCGAACGCTTCATGTTTGAGGACTTCCAGAACCGGGCAGGAAACCTTGCGATGCTGGTGGATCGGTTTCTTTACGAAGTGGCGTTCAAGTTGTGGAAGGCGCCGAAATATGGAGCTTGAATTACATAAAGGACATGAAGTGTTAGATGAAATTGTTTATCAACTGATTCGAACAGCTGAGAGTCTTCCAATGGAAGTTGGACCGATCTGATCGATTCTTCATTATCTCCACAGCTTTGTTACTGTACTTGGAGTACATGATTGTACTAAATCAGTCAAGATTATGCACAAACCGATTGAGTTTACCGCTTGATTCAATTTTGTACAAGTTTGTATGACGATGTCTCTTGAGTTGCTTCAAGTCAAAGATTGGCATGGTTTCTGTCAATTCTGGATTGCTCTGTCTTCGAAGAGCCACTGTCTTTGCACATTGTCTCAAACACTTGGGAATTGGGTAAGATGTAATAGCTCGATGCCGCACAATTATGCTGGTGTAGCAGTTTTGTATTTTTTTTCCATTCTTTGGTTTTTTGTTTGTGTTGGATGCACATGTCGACACAACTTCTGAGGATTTTCTAATGCACACAATTGTCACGAGGCGTTCACTTGTATTCTACCTAGCTCATAAAAGTGTAGGCACCAGAGATTTAGCACACACAACCGTAAATCTTCACACAGAGGGTTGAGGGTAAATTATCCATTTGCGTGCCATTGCACACTATTGGCCGTTCGGCAGAGTTAAAAATTGCTTCACTTAAGGGTAAACCAGACCTAGATTACGGGGATGATAGCAAAACTCTTGGGTCAATCAAAGTCAGTGCTTCACATGATTGCAGGCGGCCATACGAACGCAAGTCACTGTGGCTGGATTAGATTCTGGAGGTTCTGCAGGTGTTGAAGCGATGTCACCGGAAACCGGAGCACACTCATTAAAGGCTACTCGAAGGTAGGATCTTGACATACTGATACCACAATTTTTTTACATCTCCCTGCTGATTGCCAGCGATCTCGCTCTAGTTTTTGCACTATACAAGAACTGCCCGCTTTGCTTTGTTAACTTCAGAATAACACTGTGGTAGCTGCATCTAATTTAATATAAATTGAAACCTAAAAAAATTCTCTGCAGGGTGACTTCCCACAGATCCAAAGCGACACATAAACCATCCTACTCTGGCATCATGGATCAGGACACACTGGATACAACAAACTGCATGGTCTCTCGAGACCTTGCATGGCAGCAGGGATTCTGAACATTCCAGCACACAGAGGTTTGTGATTGCTGTCAAAAGCAAGAACAAACTCAAGCAGTCTCCTCAAAACATACTGGCAGTAATGTTGACGATATCGACAAACCGCCCTTGTGTCTAGGATTACAGCCTATGCCCGGCATATACTACCCGTCTGGTATGAACCCATACACAGCATATTGGTCCAGTCTTGATAATCACATCTTGTATAAGACACAAGAACTCTTACTTCCTCGGCAGTAAAGACAGAACTCCTGTAGGGGAGACACCGAGTTACTTGAGATTAGTCATTGTGTTCTTTCGTGTCACTGTGAATACCTTGAGTAGTGCAGTTGTGGTCAACATTGCGTGGTTGTAGTCAACATGGTATCAGAGCGGACAGCACAGTAGAGAGAGCGTCACTAAGAGAACTGATCATACGAAGAGGAATGGGAACGATGGATATAGTGATAGCACTGTCAAATATGCTTGCGGGACCAGAAAACTACAAATTGTGCAGGAGCACGATTTAGAGTGTACTAGAGAGAGAAGACTTGTGGGAGGTAGTGCCTCCAAATGACACAACTCCACAGGTACAAAACACAAGGACAACTACATTCGACAACAAGGCTTCATCGAACACACATCAACGATAGAATAGGATCTACAGGAAACGAATGCACTTGACGATGTAAACACCAACTCAAACACCTCAAGAAGAAGAAAACCTCAGGAGAAGGAGAACAAGAGCGATGGGCTTCATCAGACTCGATAACTGACATGATAAAGCCATACATCCTAACCATAACGGATCCTACAATTGTTTAGAAAACTCTTGCTAATCTTTATTCAACGCACACCATCGCGGATATTATGAAAATTCTTGATAAATGGGAGAACTTCCAGATGACGGATGGAATGTCAATGTCTGTATTTATGCAATATGTGTATGACCCTCTTGAACGATCTGAGAGAGATTAATTAACTACCATCCGATATAGTGGTAGTTCATTAAGTATTGAAAAACCTTCTTGCAAAGTTTGAAACATTTGTAAGAATACTGCAATCGAAGAAGGTGACTCCGACTTCAGCAAGCTTGACAAGCCGATTACATATGGAAGAGATCAAGATAAAGTTACGCGCAAAATAGAATGAAGAAGCACACTTATTGAAATTTAGAAACAACATTGAAGATAGGCATCGAATAACACTTGGATACTAAGCGTCGAGCTCATCCAACATTTTTATCGCACGATGACACCTCAGAACAAACTGCAATTTAAATCAACTTCAGAGCGGCGAGGAGAACAGTTGTCACCGGTGTGGCAAACTGGGACACATTGCCCAATTTTGTTGATCATAGGAACTGAATACGTATCAAACCAGGGTAAACAGTGGAAAAGAAACAGTGAGCAGTCACTTTCAACACCGGATGAGATCCAGAAAGCTCTACAAGTACTCTATGTGGCCTTGACACACAACAAATGAGTGGATCATCAACAATGGCGCATCGAGACACTTTTTTGAAGATCAGAATGATTTTTCAAAAATAGAAACTCCTTCTCATCGTAGCACAGTGACCATAGCGGATGGAAAAACACTCAGTGTAAGGGGGCAAGGAAATGTCAAAATTGTGGTTCAAAATAATGCAATAAATTGCCTTTGCGTCATTATTTATGTACCAGATTTAAGATAAAAATTACTATCTGTAGGTGAATATGTACAAAATACAAACCAACTATTGATTTTTGGGAAAGAACATTAATCCGATCAAGTCCACCAAAAATTGTAAAACTAGGCTACTGGGACAAGAGATCCCGATTATACAAACTCAACATGGATACGAACTCAGCCTCAATTGTATCAGCAAGTTTGAAAAACCGACGGCACCATTTATCAGCGCAAAAAATCTACACTCAAATAAAATTCAGATTAGGCATCACAAGAATGCAATGCCGTCTCCAGAACAACTCATCTACCTGTGGAACAGCCGCCTAGGCCATACGAATCAATCAACAATGCATTTGATTAAATCGAAGCACACACCAACGTCGATAGTGTGCCAATATTGCCTTGAGAGAAAACAGACACGCGAATCCATGCCCAAATTTGGAGCTAGCAGATTTGACGACAAAATTTTACTTCTACATTTCTAAATAGAATTTTAGAATAGAATAGATGTTCTATAAATTAGAATAGAATAGAATAGAAAAGAATTCTATTCAACTCTATTTTGTGTTTTAGAATAAAATAAATTTTACTTTTAAATTTCTATTCTAAAACATATGCTTTTGTTAAATTACAATGGTCAATAAAAATAAAAATTAACCAGCCAAAATTTTATCTCATTGGCCTTTACAAACAATTTATCATACAATAATATAACAATGTCAGTCTTGGTTGTAATATTGAAATTTGACATCAATATTCTAAATTATATTTTTATTGTTAAAAGCCATTTCAATATTTTATTACTTTAAGTAAGTATAGAAATTGATATCATTATAACAAACAGCAATATCACATTATTCAAGATAAAAATATTCCAATCATTAAATAATAGTAAGTTCTTGCTTATTTGAGCAAAGTTTAGTTTAAAATTACGAAATGTATTTAAAATAGATATTATATACTTATTTTCATACATATCAAAATTACTTTAGTAAATAGATATAGAAGTAGATAAAAATAAGCTAGGTGGATAATATCTCCTTCAAAAGACATCAATAAAACTTTGTGAATATGAATTGAATCTTCAAGTATCCTTTTATGAAGTATGTGGTAATAAAATTTCTTTGTAGATAATTTTTGCATTTAAAAGAGTATTATGCAAGCAAACTATTATTTGGATACTTAGCCAATAAGCATCATAGTCTTACAAAACTTCTAACTAGCCATTTTGTTTGCTAGTATAGGCAAAAAAAAGACTAAAGCCATTTTCAATTTTGTTAATATTTTTTATATTCTATTCTCAATTCAAGACTTTTTAATTCATTTGTATTTAAAAATAGTCATTCCAATATATATATATATATATATATATATAGATATATATTGTATATGAATGTATTATCTTTTAACAAGAAAATTTAAGATTAATATTTTAAATAATTCTTTGCAAGTGTAAAAGATTTTTTATTTTTATTTTTAATTATAAGAATTAAATAATATAAAAATTAAAAATATATTTAACTATAATTTGATAATAATATTTATTATAAAAATTTCTAAAAATTAAAAATTATATTGAGATTCAAATATAATATTAATTAATTGCAATATTTTTATCAAAAAAATTATAAGTATATATATGTATATATATATGTATATATATATATATATATATATATATATAATAAATTATGAATAAAAAATCTGTAGTTAAATTAACACCTATCATAAAAAATTCCAATTAAATATTAAAAAAATATTTTAATAAAATATATATATTTTAAAAAATAGTAGAAATATTTATTTAATCAATACTATTAAAAACATATTTATTCACAAATTATATTTGATATGCATAAAAATAGCCCATCAAAAAAATTATTAAATATAGAAAAGATATTAAAATTTAGTATTTTAAATTCTAAAAATTATAGCACTCAGACTATTGAAAATACCTATGTTGATTAGATCAATTAAATGTTCGATCAAAAATTTACTAATAGTTAGATATAGAAAATAATTTTAAATTAATTTATCATTTTTATTTATATTTGGATTAAATTTATATTGATTTGATTTCACAAATAAGTTATAAATATTTTTAATCTTGTAATAGATAATTTTTTATTTTTTATTTTTTATATATGAACCAACTATTAATGAAAATATATAAGATTAAATGGTTAGAAATTTTATTATTTTAGGAGTTATAATTGCCTTATGTAATATAAAATATCAGTATTTAGTTATAAAATCAATATTTAAACTATCCAAACAAAATAAACTTTGTAGTATTTATCAAATGAATGTTGAATATGAATTTATTTGACAAAAAGTCAAAAAGTCAAAAATTCAAAAAAAATAACAACTATATCAACACTAGAATATAAAATAAGATATCTTTCAAGTTAGAGATAGCTTAAAATACCAAAGAATAATAGTTTTTTGCCTAATCTGTTCATAAAAGGTATATATGACAATAATAAGTAATAAAGAATTATAGCAATAAGAGTTTTTGAAAAAATTTATATATAATTAAAATTTAAAAGATAAAAACATAAATAGGTGAATCTTTGTAGAATCTTCTATATTATAAAATCAAGTATGAAAAGAACAACATTGTGCATCCACAACAAAGTACTTAATAATTACAAAATTAAAAATAATATTACTATAAGTTGTATTAATGTTTTTGATATCTCCACTAATATAACTAAATCACATAAAAAGTAGAAAATATTATAAGAGTTGTAATAAAATAAATCAATTTTAAAAATATTTTACTTATATCTTCAAAGCAAAACTTATTAGTAGTAATATATATATATATATATATATAATTATGAACATTCATTTTCTATTATTCTTAATAATAATAAATCTACATCTCACTTTCATAATAATAGCAAATTTATCTTTGATGGTGATAAGTTATTATTAGTCTTCTTAATTTAGTTGCATGTCCTTGGATAACATTGGGATTCACATATTTGTCTTTAAAGTATTGCTAGATGATACCATATCCAAAGAAACATTGTTGACACTTTTCAAGAGGTGTGCTTAGTATGTGCACATCATCAAATGCACTATCCACAAATACAAAAATGATAAAGAGTCCTTCGAGCTAAATCTTATAATAGCTACTAGAGCATGACATCTTAGATACCACTAAAGTAGTTTTAACAATGGTAACCAACATTATGAACCTTACCAATAAAGCCATTTGTACATACAATAATTGAAGATATAGTGTTTGAATTGGTAGATTGTATACTAATTCTTTTATCCAAGCAAAGCATACATAATAGAAATTATTGCTTCAATTAAATTCATTGTCACTTTGGACATGTTTGATATTTTTGATGAATCTACATCAAGATGTACAAGAGATATTGATCTAGTAACAATCTTCATAATGCTTAAGAAGCTAGATTTGTGTTTGTGAGCTAAATAAATCCCTACTAATTGGAAGTTTATTTTAATTCATAATAGATGAATTATTATGTAATTTTTTAGAAGTTGTAGCTATTATTCAAATCCTAATCAATCGTTCTTTACTCCTCTTAAATCAACCAAGCAATCAAGCAAAACCTCTACCACTAACTCACACATGCAATAATAAATCACAAGAAAAATTTCATGCCATAAGGCTTTCTTCCTTTTATTTAATTAAGATTCGTCTGTCAACAAAAAAACATCCAAGTATAAATCTCATCCACATATAACTTCTCATCCATATTTAAAATTCATCCTTTACTTAATTCTCATTCACTAGGAATACATCCAATTTTAACCTAATTAAATCCTAACCTAAGTTCATTTGAATCTAAACTAATATCATTCACTTCTCTCATCCAAGTGGAGATTCGTCCAATCCTAATTTCAATCTGTACCACGTTTCTTGCCACGTACGAGGTCTTCAAGGTGGTGTAGGTATCAAATCCCAATTCATTGCACAGAAGGAAAAACCAAAATTGAACGCAATGCGGAGGGCCAGCGTCCATAGTTCATCTAGTACTTTGCTCCAGCTGTTGCCATTCCGATCCTCCCAATCTCCCAACACGCTCCTCTCGCAAAAGTGCACCTGGAGTCAAAACCAGCTACCGTAGCTTCTTGTTCGAGCAGACCACAGCAACGTCATCAATCCCACCGGTTCACCAGCCGAGCAACAAGTTCCTTTCTTCGGATAAATCTTCCACGACTAAATCGCAATCTCCTTCGCTGCCCTGAGTGCATTGATAGTTCCCAAAGCTCACACAAGGTCCGCTTTCAGGGCATTGCAAGTTAGTTGCAACCCTTATTCACTAAACACCAAGCCTTCAAGTGATATACTAGAGGACCACAACTGCTATAAAAACCAGCAACCCAACCACGTGGTGAAATGACTTAACTTCGCCTGCAATCTTTTGATGTAGCTTTCAAAAGCCTCTTCATAGAACATCATCTGCAAACCCGGCAACAGCATTGGACACGTATGCTGCGGAAAACCATGTACGAAAGGGCAAGGCCTCACCTATCGCCATTATTCAGGAATAATTCTCAATGAATCAATTTCTTCGTTACTAGCAATAAGTAGAATTTCCAGATGAAACTAGAACAATACTATCAGACACTTAGACAGGGAGGAGGAGTGGGTTGTGTGGTGCTCGAAAATCATGAAGCATAAGTATGAACATTCTCTTCAAGTACTACTTGATGGAAAAAGTGGACAAAATCACTTCCAAAATTGTCGAATAGAGAACTCTAGCATACTTCATGAGAAAATACACTGATGCTACATCTGCCATGCGCTAAAACTCCAGCTCCGCCTTGAAAATGCGCCACAAATTCTCGTCCTGAAAAGAGAGAGCAACAGACTCAATCTATGACCGCTTCGCTCGCATTTGCAGCAACAGCGCAACAATAAGACGGCAAATCTCTCTTTAGACAAACATTCTTAATCCTTCCTAGCTCCCGTTCTATCTTTCGATCAGCAGTAGAGCAACGTCACGAAATGTCTACTAAAATTGCAATCCTGAGCTCGGCATCTCCATCACCAACAGCACTAGAAAACCTGTGCAAACAGTCCTGCTTGGGATCTCCACATAGAGGAGGGAAGTTCTGGGCTTGGAATCCACTCAGATTGGGCGCCCTAGAGATGAGGATCTCGGTGTAGTACGTCCCGTTCCTTGCAAGCTCGAGTTGAACCTGAACGTCGCGGCCACGGATCTATCAAAAACTAGAGTAGAGAGTAGCAGCCGTCAATAACAATAGAATCACTTCCAATCCCAAGACACCTTCCACCAAGCTCTTCAACTTCATGTTTTTAATAGAGCACGAGCAACTAGCAACAAGGAGCCACGCCAAACCGTAGGACTGATGCCGTAGAACCGAATAACAGCCCCGGCTAGCGCCTCCTTTCTTGAATCGCACCGCAGCAAGGAAATTCAATACAAGTTGCCACCGCCGATGCACAATATAGAATTACAAAAAACGAGACCTAGGAGGCAATGTAGTTAATAACACACACCCCAATAGCAAGGGAGGCCTTGCAACACCGCCGCAACAACCACTAGAGAGCATCCAGTGCTGCAAATGAACATCAGTTCCGACCACGTCGACTTGTGGAGGGCGACGCCCACTCTCGAATGTCAACGCCTCCCAGCCAAACAATACCGGATAGGAGCTCCACGCCGATCAGTGGAACACAGGATGCTGCACCGCAGCACTTCAACAAAATGAAGAGAAACGCCGTAGCCATACACTCACCTGAGCGAGAAACACCAAAATTCTCGGAGTTCTCTCACTGGATCACAAAACAAAAAAAATAAAATAAAAAAAATGAGAGAAAGCCCAAAATGCGGCCGGGGTCCTGAACAACCCCTGATCCCCGTGGCCTCCTCCAAGAGATCCGGCCGGCATTCATCTGGCCGGAAAAGATACTTTCTGGTTTTTTCTTTCCCTTTTTCTTTTTTCTTTTTTTCTTAGCTCCTCTACTCTTCTTTTCAGTTTTGCTTTTCTCCTCCCTACTCTTTCTTTCTGCTTTTCTTTTCTTTCCCCACTCTCAACCTTTTTCTTTTCTATTCCATAGGTCTTGGAGAACTTCTAAAGAAATCATAAAAAGATGATAAAGAAATCATAAAGGGATGTAAAGAAATCTAATAGAAAATAAAAAACAACCTTAAAAAAATATTAAAGAAATCTATAAGAATTTTGAAGAAATCTTTCATGAAATTCTAAAAAAAATCTAAAAAAAGCTAAAAGAAACCTTAAAAAATAAAAAAATCTATAATAATCTTAAAGAAATTCTTTAGAAATCCTAAAGCAACTTTACAAAAACTCTAAATCATAAACCAACTCTAAATAGATCCTAAATCCTAAATCAATTCTAATTATATTCTAAATTCTAAATCAAATCTTAATCAAATTCTAAATCCTAAATCAAATTCTAATTAAAACCTAATAAAATCTAATCAATTCAAATTAATCCCTGAGAAATTTTAGACTCTCAATATCTATTCATTAAACTATTAATCTTGCTTAAAATTTTATATACCTCTTTATTTCTTAATTAATAATAAGTACAATAAATTTGAAAAAAATTAAATTTATGAAATAAGAAAAAAACGTCATAATCCACTCAAAGTATACTTATATCTTCAAAGCAACTTCCAATCTATAGATGGGTTATGCTTTTTCAACCAGGAAAGACCAAGAATAATAGAATTTGATGGGGTTCTAATAATATTGAAAATAATATGACTACTATGGCCCTTAAACATCACTTCTATAGGTTCTGATTCATGGGTGATACTACCAGACAATAAAGGTCGTCCATCTATGTCCTTAACGAAAATAGGTTTGGATTTTTGTACTAAAGGGATCTTATGATGCTTTGCAAATTCTTCATCTAAGAAACAAGCAGATGCTCTTGAATCTAATAATGCTAAGGTTCTCAGTTTCTGAGGGCCAATAAGCAAAGAGATTGTAAAACAAAGGGTAGGTTGAGCGGAAAGAAAAGAACCTAGTTGTTGTTGCAATATTTCACTGTTCTGTCGCACGGTTCCTATTGTGGCGAGGCATCCTCATTTTCCTGAATAAACGTGCCCCTAGTCTTGACAATACGTCAATTTTTCTTCTTGGGGCAGTTTCCAATTTTGTGGCCTTCTTCACTGCAATACAAGCATAGACCTTCCTCCATACACCGCTTTTTTTCTTCTAGAGTAAAGGATTTGACACGTACTGCATAAATTTACATATCTTCTACCTCTGAATGTAAATTCAAGCTGCTTGCCGACATAGTTGGGACGTGGCAAACTGTATGTTATCTTGAACGTTGGTCTTAGCGACGTTGGAATAGGTGATTATCGTACTTCACAACTTGGCTAATAACTTCATTGAGCGTTTGCAGATCTAGAAGAGTTAACAGCAAATCCTTCACATCATCCTTTAAATCCCAATAGAATTGACTCATCAACGCTTCTTCGTCCCAATTGATGTCGCATGCTAATTGCTTGAAGTCCGATGCATAGACTGATGAAGAGCGCATCCCTTGTTGTAGTGACCAGATCTTTCTTGTAGCCCATCGAACCTTGTCGTGTTCACCAAATGCTTCTGCAAACGCCTCCAAAAAGGTTTCAAAGTTGTTTAGTATGGACGATCGTTTCTCAAACAAAGGAGCAAACCATGATAGAGCTTGTCCTGTAAGTAAGGTTCCAACAAGCCCAACACGTGACTCCTCCGTTAGATAGCGTTCGGGCTGTAAAATTATTATCAACCTGATTTGATTGACGAATCCTTGAAACTTGGAACGCGTACCATCAAACTTGTTCGGAAGGCTAACTCGGGGCTCCTTATGTTGTAGAACCAGCGGTGCTTATCGAACTTGAGGCAAAGTTGCTTCTCCAAGTGTTGAAGTTTGAGGCTGGTGCAACCTAGATTGTGCCATCCCAGATGTTCCATCATTATGAAGCCTTGCCATGACTCCTTCAATCTCTACAGCTCTTTGCGATAACATAGCGAGGGCATTCATGATAGCATCTAACTTGGACTCCGAACTTTCTGTCATACTAATGTCTTGGCCCCCGGCCATTCTAAGAGAAGGACAGAAATGACTCTACAAGAAGACAATATTGGTTTAGAGGAGGGTACTCCACAACCTCTAAAATGCCTTAAGAGCTTCAAGAAAAGGGATAATCCACTCTCTCCAAGAAGAATAAGACTCCAATATTGTAACAAAAAAAATATCAGTTTAGAGGAGGGTAATCCGCAACCTCTAAAATGCTAGTACACTTCTAAGCAGAGGGGTAATCTACACTCTAATAAAGAAGAAACTAGCTCTGATATCTGAGGTGAGTGAAGTCTCGACAAACTGTCAAGGACACAGAAATACAGATTCGAGATCTAACAAGAAGTTCAAGAAGAACTGGCAAGAACTAGATTAATCAGATGAGAACAATACCAAAGAGGTGAGCTAGAGCTCCAAGAGATGTGTTGTCGAGACTGAAGAACTCTTCAGCCTTGATTCCAATATATACTCCTATTTAGGAAGCTTTTCAAGCAACTTCTATCAACGAGGAAGCTTCTAGAAGGTTCCAGAGACTTGCTTCTAGAAGGTTCTAGAAACTTATCTCTAGAAGGTTCTAAGGACTATGTCCCTAATATCTTCTACTAACTAAGAAGCTTCTAGAAGGTTCCAGAAACTTGCTTCTAGAAGGTTCTAGAAACTTGCTTCTAGAAGGTTCTAGAAACTTGTCTCTAGAAGGTTCTAAGGATTATGTCCCTAACAAATTCTCACTCTTAGATATATACTTGGGATCATTATTCTATTAGAAAATGAAACTTGTTGTCACGAATATACTCATAATTACATATACAAATAGGTAGAAATAAGTAAAAGGAGGTAAATGTAAGTTAATTCTATAGTATTTGATATGATAGCTTCCTAAAAGCTTCATAGATGCTGCTTTGACTTCATAGGTATCTTTAATTGACTTTTTGGATTAGAAACGTGGTCAACAAGTTGGCCATGTGCCACACATGTTGTTAGCTTGAAGACTAAGCTAACTCTGTGGTCCACACGTAGAAAAACTTGCCTTGTAAATCAAGGCATGTATCCTACGAAGTCAACACATATTGGAGGTCCTATATAACATCGCCATGTAGCCACTAGTTAGATAGTATATATAGAGACAAGAGTAAAGCCTTCTTCACTCTTGTCAACTCCTTTCTTGCTTCTAGTCTAGTTTCAAGGGTCTCTAGTTTTCTTGTCTTTTGGCAATAGCCATTCTAGTTTCTCTTTCAATATACATACTTGTTTATTTATATTTTGTTACCTTTCTTTGAGTGAAGGCTCACTTGTCTGAATTGCTTTTTCATCAAGTTTTTTTCCTTGACAGATTGATAAGAGTACACCTACAATATCAGAGCTTTATCTAATCTTGATTAAGAGTGGATTATCCCTTTTTCTTGATAAGATATAAGCATATTAGAAGTTACGGATTACCTTCTTCTAAATTGATATTGTCTTTAGTATTTTCTTTGTTCTCAAGTCCTATCTTCTATTTGTCTTGAGCAATATTAGACATCTTCTCTTTTTTAAGTGTTATCATGATAGAACTTGTTGAAATGAAGAGTGCAATGGCACAAATACAAGAGCAATTGAGAAAGTTAATGCTTGCGATGCATCAACTCAATTTACCACCACAAGGAGCAACAAGATTGGCAGGAAGTGAAGATATAGAAATGGTTGGAGCTGCTTCAACATCTACACCAAATCATGTCCTTTCTCCTATGGTGGAACACCCTTCCAATATTAGAGAACCAAGAATTATTCTATCCGAGAAGTTTGATGGTACCAGATCCAAGTTTTGAGGATTTATCAATCAAGTGTAACTTGTGATTGAACTTCAATCCCAAAGCTATCCATCTCCTGGATCGCAAGTTAAATTCATTGATATGCTTCTTTCAAGTTCAGCATTATCGTTGTTTTCATCTTTTCTTGAACGACGAGATCTAATATTGGATAATCTAGAGACTTTTTTAGTGAAGTTTCGATCTATGTATGAAGAATATGATGCAATTTGTGTTGCAACCAATAAGATCCATATTTTACGACAAGGCAATCGATCACTAACGTTGTATGCTTCACAATTTTCACAACTTGTAACTGATATCAAGTGAGATGATGCTGCACTTATTAGCCAATTTTTCTACGGATTACAATATGAGGTAAAAAAATTAATGCTCAACTTACTTGATCCTCAAACATTGAGTCAAGCAATTGACTTTGCTGTGAAGTGCGACAATTATCTTTTTGAATTTCGATCTGAGAACCATACAAGTGGACCTCAATGTTACTATAATTCAATAACAATACCAACACGTCTTCAACACATACATTCAAAAATAGAGGATATACAAATTAATACAGTACGTTTTAAACCTCTTACTGAGCAAGAAAAGACTCGTCGTCATCAAGAAGGATTATGTTTATATTGTGGAAAACCAAAAGACACTGCTCAACATTGTCCAAAGAAATGACTCAACCACAAAATGAAGAGTATGGCTGTCAAAGAAGACAATATGTTGGAAAATGATATTAACTAGCTACAATAGGGATCGTGTGGCTGGAAACTTGCACAACATCTAATAAAGGTCATATTCTCTCTTCAGAGCCATCTCCTTGTTTTACATTAAATGTTATTTTAGGACCTAAACATTACAAAGCCTCTGCCTTGTTAGATTCAACGTATTTTTTAAATGAAGAATTTATTAAAAGACATAGCATATCTTTAGTAAAGAAAACTAAACTTATTCATGTAGAAG